GGGAGTTTGGAGCAGCCATACGTGACCTTATATAGGTGTGAATTCATATATACATGTTGGTTTCTATAAGGTACATTAGTTTAGCGGTGTCTTCTCTTGAAATTGATATTTGTTTAACTCACTGTCAAAGGATTCTGTTACGAGTTGTTCCGAAGTAACATAAGTGTTTTCTTACTTAGATTTGGCTATAGTGAACCAGCGACCTGAACGAAAAATCGAGGCTGTGAAAAGTGTACCTCGCTAAATCGCACCTTTTGAAAGAGTAACTGACAACAACTGTCCAAAAGCTTGTCGCAGTTGAAAAGGAGCATCTGGATAATTGTGAAAAAAGGAGTTTTAAGCCCTTGAAACAAAGATCATTCAGGAGATTCATGAGAAGGTGAACGCACAAACAACAGACATTGCAGGTATAACCATGGAAGGAACGGTAGCCATGAAAAATGAATCTTTCTCATGTTATCATTTCATCACCATCGACTTTACTTATGCAGATTTCTCGCTTGGCTGGTACATTCTCAGTTGTGTGCTGACTGTGTTATTCGCCCTCACCGCCTCGTTCGCTAACGTATTAGTTCTTGTTGCCATCCTACGGACTCCTTCGCTTCATTCTCCGTCTAACACGCTTTTATTTGGTTTGGCGCTCGCTGATCTGGGAGTCGGTTTGCTTGTTCATCCTCTGTTCCTTATGCTAATACTTGGGAAAATCACGAAGAACGAAGGCGTTTTCTGCGAAGCAGGAATCGCGATTGAAGTGATTGCTAACGCTCTTTGTATAATTTCTCTTTTAACTGTAACTGCTGTCAGCCTTGATAGATATTTGGCTCTTCGCCTTCATCTCAGATATAAGGAACTCATTACAATCAAACGCGCAATCGTCGTTTTAGTAATCATCTGGATTATCGGAGCACACTCTGGTACACTGTGGCTCTACAAACCTAACCTAGTAAAATGGAATGTTATCGTAATAATTCAACTTTGCCTTATGGCTGCAATAGTTTCTTATTTTCAGATTTATCGCGCTGTCACGCGCGCTATACACTCAGAATTGACCATGAAATGTTCTGTAGATCAAAACTGCGAGGCAATGAACATGGCAAGATTCAAATCGCACACTCTCAGCACCTTTTTGGTCTATTGTTTGATTATGCTGTGTTATTTGCCGTATTTCTGCGTCGTGGTCGTTATAACAGTGACGGGACCATCAGTTCCAAAACGGTTTGCTTATGATATGACTGCAGTGGGGGTTTTCATAAACTCCTCACTCAACCCGCTAGTGTACTGTTGGCGTTTAGGAGATGTTCGTAATGCAGTCAGAAAAACTGCAAAACTGATGGTCCCCGCCAAATTTAGGGGAGGAGAAACAACGATGGCACCTTAGAATTGTACCCACATGAGTGAATTGTTATTTATTCAAGTTGCGCAATGAGAGCGATCTAAGTCAGTTGGAAAGCAGAAAGTGAGAAGCACCAGGCTATAATTTTGTACTGTTTTGTGAAGAAGTTGCCAGAGCAATAAAAAAAATTGACGTCGTTTCAGCGACAAGTTACCTGAGTTTCTCCTTATGTCATGGAAAACAAAAACCACAGCAGAAAATGTGGTAAGTGGGATGCACAAAAATACGCTCGTGTTCCAATTCAGAATTATCTCGAGTCGTTCAAGTTATAGTTATCAATATTAGCACACACAGTGGACATATTTCGATTACTTCAAGATCATGTTCCTGATATCTGTACACTCATTTTTATGCCAGAAGAATGTTAGTTAACTGAACACATTGTAGGCAAAGTCTTGCATCAAAGAAAGAGTTTTCTATTATAGAGATAGAATATGTATTATGAGTGCTTAAACATGTATGGAGGAACAAAGGAGGAGGGGTTTGCCAATGAGCAGAGAAATCTCATCTGGTTATTCAAAAACAAAAATATTAAACAAAAGAAGAAAAAAAAAGAAACAAGTATATATTAAGAGCATGAGTGATTTTAAAAGTAACCGAGCGCTACTCGTGTCAGGTTTCACCTGTTTCTCATTGGTCGGGAACAGTAACACTTTTATTAATGGTCAATATCCAGGCCGAGATGAAGTGTTAGATGGAACTTAGCCTGCTAAAAGGTAGTATAAAAATTAAAATAGTAATAATAACAATAATAATAATAATAATAATAAAGATGATGATGGTGATGATGGTAATAGTGATAATAGTAGAGTGAAAAAACAGCCGGATGTCACGCGAGAATATCTATTAGTTAACTACGCAGATTCGTAATGTGTCTATGTTTTGTTTACTTTGATATTCAATTTCCCGAGCTTGTTCTGCTCGCACTTGATGCAGCTACATTTCTTTATGAATAACAATGTCCGATAAGTAAAAAAGGTAGTGGTTTAGAAGTGATACTACCATTGTAACAAGATCTAAAAATTCATAATAATTTTCAGAGTTAAAGAAATTATCAAAGGAATTGCAAAACAAGTTTGATTGACGGAGTAAACATGCATTGCTCAATGAAGAAATTAAAACTGAACTAATAAAGAAAATTTCCTCGGAAGCGAGCTTCTTTAGAAGAGAGAGTGAGGAAGGTATATAGCATTTCTAGAATAAAAATTCTTACCGATGTAAGTATATGTAATAAGTAATTTACATTTAAACTCAATAAATCGATATCTTAGCCGCATCATGGCGTGTTCGTGTGTTTTCACGTTGTTCCTAAATCAGTTCATCTACTCCTATATTTTAGAGACATTTGTAGTTACCTCATCCTCGTCATTTCATATGCTCTAGGACATTTTAAAACGCTCCAAGACTTGGTTTGCAGAGAAAAAGATGAAATACGCTCCTCTTAAAAAAAAATGGATGCTGAAATCTAAAAGTTGTTTTAGTGCAAACTGACTTTCATATTGAAAAAGACCTTGATCGATAAACTGATAGGTAAACTGAAAACTGCGCGCGAATACAATAAAAATTATCCGAAGAACAATGGCAGGGAAAGCATTCTATTTAAAGAATTTTTTATGGCTGGGAATAGCTGTAGCATACAAACCTGATCAAACAAAGGCCTTTAGTTTTTCGAAATTTAAAATTGCAATCACCCAGCTGAAACGATAAGTGACAAATTGAAATATATTGAGGATTACCATATGAAGGGTTTCCATTTGGAGGTAAGCATAATTTTTTTCGTGCGGTTTAAGATTTCAAAGCAATTTCAATTTTCAATCGCCAGTTCAGAGACAGATCTGTTTATATAAGGTGTAATTTCTCCGCCATACAAGAGCGGATGTCTGCTTCAGATTATTAGACAGGATAATGCGAGTGTGCATATGACTTGCTCGAATTTGATTAAGGTTACTTCCCACCTTCGCGGATGTCCTTCGAGAAAAAATTCGTACGCGCGTTAATTTTACTAAAATCCAAGCAAACTATACATCAAAAGAAAGCTTATTAATCGTACTTTATGATGAAAATATAATTTAAGCGACGTTTCAAAAATTGTAATTTTAGCAATTTTTCCTTAAAGGATAAGTCAAGAGCCGGTAAGGCGTGAAACGACGTACCAAGGGTTCTTCTATTGAAGTTATCGTGTATCGGATGCCGCAGCACAAGCTAAATGGCTGCACAGTCCTATTCACAAGGCATCAATCAACAAATTTTGTCGGGCTTTTTCGGCTTTCTGATTGGTTGTCTAGATATCGACATCTAAAGTTGGAGTAGCTAAAAATATGCCGGGCGTGTTGCGTAAATGGACACCACGGACAAATATTTTAAATCAAATTTCAAATTTCCCCGCACACTTCGTTTGTAATTATTCCTAGAATGTTTGACGAAAATAGGTTAAATCTATATACCCTGTAAATTTGCTAAAAGTGGTTGTATTCCTCCCAAAATCAAATGCGAGATTTTAGCTCATAAAGGTTCGCAAACAACTCGCACCACGCCAGGAGATTACCTTGCCTCCTGAAACTGCAAACCAATGGGACAACAGTACCTCCTAGCATCGATGATGGAGGATCAAGATTTCCCGGGAAAAGTAATCCATTGCAGACACGTTTTTTTTTATCTCGATCGCTGAGTGAAGCTTTGAGGAGGATGACACAATAGTGGGCAAAGTTGCCAAAGGAAAAATCCGCCGGCAAAAATGGAAAAACCGGGGAGCGCGCTAAGGAGCAAGAAAAAGGATCAACAGACAGCTTTCAAAATTACGATTTGTCGCAAGTCTGGTACTTGCGTAAATGAAAGGAAACCTCGTTTTTAAAATTATGTAGGGCAAATTTTGGTTTGACGGCGACTCCTTTGTTCGAAATCTGGACGCCAGCGTGGAGCTCCTCCAGTACCAGTCGCTTTCACGAAGGAAATGTTTTCTTTTCTTGACAGAATGGTACTTTTCCTTTCTCCTTTGGGCTTGTTTTTTTTTTTGTTTTTATTTTTTATTTTATTTTTTTTACCAAGGACTTTCTTCCCCTTTTAATTTTTCCATGAGCAAAGATTTTTAAGTTTCCATGGGCAAAGAGCTTCTACGTGTGAATTTTTTCGAATAGGGATGTAGACAAAAAAAATTAAAAAACGAGTCCCAAGATGAGCGGTTGCCGCGAAATCTCCCCCAGGGAATTCGCTCAGGTCCGAGATTATGACACCTTCCTGATTTATTAAATTTTATTTGAAACTACGTTTTTCTAAATAACTTGGGTGCTTTAAAAGATTTCAGAAATTTTTTATGGGAACGTTCGGTCAAAATGTTTGAATTCAGTTTAGTCAAATAAGAGGAAAATCTGTTTTTTCGGCCTCTGAAGGTGGGAAGTAACGTTAAGCTAACCCAAACCCTCATTATTAAATCACCCTCTAGTCTCGGAGAGGAGATTTTTCATGACAGTGAGGCTTATGTTGGTTTTTGGGTAGGTCTTAACTGTTCCAAAAGATCGCTTTTAGATGAGAAAAAAAGAGTGTCACTTTGCTGTTGAAGGAAAGTGGCCTCGTTGCCATGCAGCACATTTAAAATGGCGGCGTCCTTAGCGGAATCTTCGCATCCTGAACATGGTAAGTGCATGTCAAAATTTCATCGAGACTTTTCTCTTAAACTGAAAGATGAAAATTAATAGCTTCTGGAGCATAAATTTTATCTCTTGGGTGAACACTTTTTGATTAACCCTTTAATTCCCATGAGTGACCAAGACAGAACTTCTCCTAACAATATCAATAAAATATCAATCAGATAAGTGATGAGAATAAAGAAAAATAGCAATTTGGGGATAATTAGTTGATCCAACGCTAGATTCTCTGAACTAACATTATAAGAATTGTATGGTTGACAGCAAGGAGAATGACAAATTTGATCTGGGAGTTAAAGAAAATCAGAACCAAAATAATCTCAATGGCCAATCAGAAAAAAGGCAACTTAACGATTGCAGAATCAAAAAAGGAACAGTTCAAAATTCACCCACACAGAATGTGCGTCTGTAACGTGCCCCGTTTACCAACTAAACGACTCGAACAGGCTGAAAAACCTCTTCAGCACCTAAAGCGTTGAGTGCCTCTTTGGTTCTTCACAAACTTAGGCATCGCGTTTAAGAGGAATCTCTCCTTCGGCATGTAAAGTCTTTGTAAAGTAAATTCAATCCTCCCCCTACGTGAGCAGTGGTACTAGTACTGACTCTTAATTAATGATATTCCAAATGAAACAGAAATTTGTGACCTTCCCGAAGTTCGCACGAAGAGTATTTTCGATACATTTGAACGAAACAGAGGCCAACCCGAGAAGCTTGAGAAAGGAGGAGGACGTCATTGGGGAAAAAAGGGAGTGGGAGAGGGAGAGGGGTACGATGAGGAGGGGGGTGGGGAGGGTGGGAAAAGAAAATGCGGAGAACAGGAGAGAGATGCATAGAATGCCAATCCTCGTTCATCATCAGACCGGAGACAGGATTTAAAGTCGGGTACGGTTGGAGGAAGAGCTGGGTAGGGAAAGTGAGAGATTTTATATTCAGTCCCCTAATTTATAGGGAGCAAATTGTGCTGATCCCATAACAATTTCATTCCCGGGCTCTTATTTGCACCTGTCTGGAAATAATATTTAAATAGTGAGCAGCTTGTTCTCTATATGATAATACATTAAAATGCAAGATGTGCGATATAATTTTCGTCACATGTTCATGACTACAGTCTTTTTAATCATTTTGGTCGATAATGACGTTAAGCATAAGTCAAAACGTGATTCTTTTACCAGATAACTTCGATTTTTCAGTTTCAATTTAGATATCTCATTGTTTATAGAATAGTGAATTTCTGCCTTGCTTTTCTGTTTTGAAAGTCATCCTGAGGCGCTAAATCTAACCAAGGTACATCATACTCCAGTACTAAACTGCTTTTAGAGCTCGTTATCGTTGTTTACTCAAAGAAACATTTAATCTAATTTCAATTTAACGTTGGTAAGTAAACGACAAATGGAATCAATTTTGTTAATTTCAATTTTAATTTTTTTCGAGAAAGGCCGAAAAAATACCTTCCATCTTTGAAGTCTCATAGTGGTGATGATTGTCTATAACCAGTTTGAAGTTTCTTCTTTATATTTCAAGTTTCCGAAGCTAATTAAAATTATCGTCTACGTCGCGCTTCGAAGGTGACATATTCATAGCATAATGAACGACTGTCGTTAGCTACACCTCCACTACGATTCTCTCTTTACGGAGACTGTCTTTAAGGATAAAACTTGGTACAAACACAATGCATTTTTAACGTTACCTTTTAGTTGCATAGTTACTGTAACAGATACATGGAAAACGAACAACTGAAACCGCTAGCAATTCGACTTAAGGCGATGCGATAAACACCTGGCTTTATTCATAGCTTCCTGTTTGCCAATATTGAGATTAGCCAACAATCGCTTTTGTTTTCTTTTAGATAGTGAATACCAGATAAAAGCTCGCATTGAAATTAGCACACGTCCATTCAGCATCAGCGCTTAATGAGAAGAGAATTGACCCGTTGTTAACACAAGTTCTTTGACGGGCAACTTAAGAAGTATGGAGCCAAAAAACCCAAGGGTTACAGACACCAATACTTCGGAAAAAACGGAAAACATCACCCAAGATTACGAAACGTTTTCGTGCTATCACTTCAGCGCTATCGACTTCGAAATTGCAGACATCTATCTTGGTTGGTGCATACTAATTTGTGTGTTAAACGCTCTCTTCTCCATCACTGCTTGCCTCGCCAATTTATTGGTTCTTGTCGCCATTCGAAGGACTCCCTCGCTTCATTCTCCGTCCAACACACTCCTCTCTGGTCTCGCACTGTCTGACCTTGGAGTCGGTGTGCTTGTTCATCCTCTGTTTTTCGCGCAAATCTTTGGCAAAGTGACCAAGAACAAAAACATTTTCTGCGAAGCTGGAATCACAGTAGAAGTTACGGCAAACGCTTTATGCATCATTTCTCTTTTGACTGTAATAGCCGTTAGCTTGGACAGGTATTTGGCCCTTCGCCTTCACCTTAGATACAAGGAACTTATCACAATCAAACGTGTAATATTCGTTTTGGTAAATATCTGGATTATCGGGGCTTTCTCTGGTACATTATGGCTTTATAAACCCGACATGGTCAAAGGGAATGCGATCATAATAATTTTGGTTTGTTTTTCAGCCGCTACGTTCTGTTATTTTCAAATTTATCGCGTTGTTTCACGGCACTATCATCACGAGGTGGCGTTGAAAAGTTTCTTGGAACAGGGAACGACCAGAGAACAGACAATAAACATGGCGAGTTTCACATCTCATGCGCTTAGTACGTTCTGGGTGTATTGTTTTATCATTGTATGCTACTTGCCATATTTGTGCGTTGTGGCTGCAATAACTCAGATTGGATTAACGCTCGGAATTCGGTTTGCGTATGATATAACTGCCACACTGGTTTTTATAAACTCTTCGCTCAACCCTTTGGTTTATTGTTGGCGTTTGCGAGATATCCGTAAGGCAGTGAGAAAAACTGCCAAACTATTCGTCTGCGCAGACCCAAGAGAAAATGGCGATTGAATATGAGTGGGGTTAAAAGTCAAACAGTCATTTATTATTTGTCGATAATTTATTCTACTCAGAGATGCTCGTTAGCACTCGTCTCTAGGCTGTCAAGTTTCAGTTGTAATTGCGTCATGGAATAAAAATATGAACTTCCGTTCGTTTTTTTTCCTCAGATCTGTCAAATGCTAAAACTTCCTGCTTCCTGTGTTTTTTGTTTAATTTTCTGAACCTTTATAAATAGATTTTCATTACGAACGGATTTTATCACTTCACCTTTACATATTCTGCATTTTCATTAAAGAAAAAACTTATAACACCATTTCGTTGGATTCATGTCTCAGTCTCTCATGATTGTTCCCTTCCCGGGATTAACAGATTGACAACTAGGTTGTTTTAACTATTATTTGCATTAGGCTCAGTGAATGTTTTTCATCATGGAGTTGATTTTATTTTCTCCCATGGGCTGGACTTTGTACCAAGTTTCATCGCTAGGTCCGCTGTTGTATTTTATCGAGAGGTAAAATGGACCACTCGCCCTGAGATTGCGAGGCCTACGATTGATGTACTGACGGAATAACGCAACTGGACATCTCTCTCCGCCGGTCTGAAACATTTTGGGCTGAAACTGTCTTGGCTTTGCGTTCAAACCAGGTCTGGTTTTCGTTGGCCCTTCAGCAAACTCAAGGCCGTCATCACCTTTCATGATTCTGAAATCCTCCAGTCTCATTCCATGGTGTTCTTGCCTTCCACGGAGACCAAATTGTTGAGTAAGTAGCCACCACATTGTATGAATTAAGGACTCTGGGGTTTTACCACCGAGTTTCTCGCTCTTCCAGAGAATTTCTTCTTCCTCTTCGGATAGTTGTCGAGCTTTGTTTGGGCGCTTGCCGCGACCAGCTAAGCGAAGCTGTTTCGCTTTTCCGTCCAGTACTTGTTTGGAGGAACTGAATTCTCTGTCGCGAATAATGGACAGTTTATAGTCTTTGTTCTTCAAGTGTCTATCAAGCGATGTAATCATTACTTTCAGACTTTCCGGTTCATAATCTTCCCCATGTTTGTTTTTAATTTCGGCATAGAATCGCTCGAGCAAACTGTTAAACTGGGTCGGCTCGTAGTTTTCGATTTTCGCGGCAATTTCCTTCTCCAAACACCACTTCTTCCAAACTGACAACCAAAAAGCAGTGCTTTTTACCGTGTTTTCATTGATAGAGCTGTTTTTCAGCTGCTGTATTGTTGTTGCGGTAGCGGAAGAAAACCTACTTAAAACACCCGCCATTGTTTCGCTCGCAAATTTTCAGCGTATCCAAATGTTGCGACATCCAAGGCTCGCATTTGATTGGCTATCTGTGAGTTTCTTTGATTATTGACCAATCAGAATGTATGGTTTGTTTCTTTCTTTGCATTGAATTAACCCTCTTTTGCGCTGAATTAACTCTCTTCTGCACTGAATTACCTAAAAACTGCATTTATCTTAACCAATCAGAACTGAGTAATTTTTTCATGTATATTACTAGGTTTTATAACGTTGCGCGCGCGCGCAAAGCCTACCTATTTCCGAAGGAGCTACTATGGCAAAAATACTTATGTACTGCATAGCCGTGCATCCATCACATGACGGGTGCAATTTCACCGTCAAATTGCACCCGTCCCTTTCAGCCGCGAGGTTTCAAAACTTTCAAGATTTTTCCCTGCTCTATCCCGATTGAGATAAACCTTTTGGAGCTCAAAATGAAAATAATACGTGCTAAATTACACTAGTTTCGAAAAACAACGAGCATGTTGTTCTTTCAAGCGAAAAAAATTAGTTTTGGAGTTGACGATACTTCATTCCAAAACGGGATGTTAATTTTGGCTTAAAACAAAACTAAGCTTTCCGACTTGAACTGAGGCTTTGCGACGTTAGGTAATCTTCACTAAACGGTAAATATTATTTTGATGTGTCGATATGTCCTAGAAATGTTGTTCAATGTTTCGAAATCGTACGATTTCCAGAATTTTCAACACAAAGCTACGCTTCTAGTAAACAATAATTCAAGTAAGGTAACTCTTCCACACGGGTCTCGTAAATACTAGAAATTTGCAAGTTTTTCGCTTCGTTTTTCGAACACTTAATATTATTTTTAAGTGTTGATATTTCCTAAAAGTACACGTTCAATAATCGTATAATTTCGGAATTTTAAAAGTCTTCAATACCGGCCGTTAATTCTAGTAAACAACGATTCAAGCATGCTGAATCTACTACGTGGTCTTGTACATGCAAGAAACTCGTTCGTTTTTCGCCACTGAGCAGAAAATTTACCACTCTTTTAACAAAGATCCGGTCACAAAATATTTCTTGGTCGTTTTTGCCTGATTCAACGGTTAACAAATAACACTCGCAGATATTTTGCGGGTTGCAAAGTATTTTTTCGCCTCGTAGGGGTGAGGAAAAATACTGATAATGAGTAAAATGTTTATATAACGGATTTATGATCCACCATACCATCCACCATTTTGGCGTCTTGTGTTCGAAATACATTCTACGGTCTATCTTAGCATAAATAAATCGATAATTCTTAATAAAGAAACCACAACTTTTAGGAAAAATACTGATAATGAGTAAAATGTTTATATAACGGATTTATGATCCACCATACCATCCACCATTTTGGCGTCTTGTGTTCGAAATACATTCTACGGTCTATCTTAGCATAAATAAATCGATCGAATATGACCTGCGTGAAAGACGATACCAACGCAAGCGGAAAAATTAAGGTTTTTTTTTTTAATGACTGGTAAATAAAGAAAGATTTGCGGGTTCATTTTTTTGTAACACCTTAGCCATTATGCTTATTTCTTTAAAATTTCTCGTGCCTCCGACTCGACACAGGCCCCTTCAGCAAGTAAGTGTGCATGCAAAACCAACACAGATCATTTTTTTACCACTCTAATCCTCGTTTTTAAGGACTGATTTCCAGCTGACAAAGTCTTCAAGATTATAATGACACCTACTAATTATCAAGTGTTGTTGATTTTTTTCCACAATTTCTTGTTGATCCCTTGGACAATGCGTTGAATTTGAAACGAGAATCCTGTTGTTCGTCCACTCGGCAGCTCTATGCGCATTGCGAACTGAAGAAGGAAAATTATACAAGTGTTTCTAATCAATTCTTGCTGGCACTTCTAATTTTTAAAAACGTAAGATTTTTTTTCCTGAGTAGCAGAATTTGATATCGCTCTTTAGTAAAACCAATTCGAAGCGAGTCTATATGCGAGTCGTGATTCGTCATTAAGGAAAGAGATTTCAATCCTTTTTCACCTCTGGGATTTTTTTAATTATGAATCACTGTGCTTTGTCCTAGGCTCATTCAAACAATTTCTTTTTTTTATTTAAACGTAATCATAGAAGCAATTTTAAACTCCCAGTCATTAGTCACATACTTGTCAGGTAAAGCTGTTTTTGCTCAATTTCCGTTTCCAGGCAAAATGAAAGTCACCTCATAAAGATAGGAAAGAGCTTAAACTCATCAGATCAACTGCAAAGTTTGTTTTCTCACAATTGACTGACAGATGTAACGACATATATTGCCGCATTTGGATCATCTCCAATTGACACCTCAATACCCACAGCTGCCGTCAACATTTTTCTTCTAAATCTACTTTTAAATCGATGCAAATACTCCCTACTTTTCAGTATCATTGTTGTTTCTGTTCACCGGACAAGTGTTGCTGGAGAAGCTGTTGAATTTCTTGTTCGACTTTTTCATGCTTGGACCTCAGATTAAAAGGGATTTCTTGTTTCTTTGGACATAAAGTTGAAACTAGCTCGTATCCGGGCAAGGACCCAAAGACATCAAAGCTCGAGTATGGTTTTAAAGATAGGAAACAAAACTGGAGACTCTGAGAAAGATATTTGTTATCATTTTACCCATACGCATTTCAACATGGGGGAATTTTCTCCCGCTTGGTACATTTTCAACTGCGTTGTAAATATCGTGTTTTCCATTACGGCTATTGCATCTAATCTGGTAATCCTTTTTGCTATTCGCCGGACGCCAACGCTTCACACCCCATCTGGCACACTTCTTTTCGGTTTGGCACTCTCCGATCTTGGCGTTGGTTTAATAGTCCATCCTCTGTTTTTTTCGCAAATATTAGCCAAGGTTATACGGGATCAACCGCTATTCTGTGATGCTGGAATTACGGTGGAAATTGCAGCGAACGCCCTTTGTATCGTATCTCTACTAACTGTTACCGCTGTTAGTGTTGACCGGTATCTAGCTCTTCGTCTTCATTTAAGATACAGAGAGCTCATAACGATAAGACGCGCAGTTTTGCTTCTCGTTGGTATTTGGTTATCCAGTTCAACATTTGGTTCGCTGTGGCTATGGCAACATGAACTTGTGAAGATAGTTGCAATCACTATCATCAGCGTAAGTCTCTGTATTGCTTCGTATTCCTACATGAACATTTATCGTATCGTGTTGCATCACAGGTCGGTCATACGAGTGCAAAGCTCGTCTGTCAGTCAGGCTTTTGACAAAGACGAACAAGAGATAAACGTACAAAAAATTAAAAAGCAAGCGGCGGGTTCATTCTGGGTTTATTGCCTACTAACTGTTTGTTTCACGCCATATTTGTGCACCGTCGCTGTTATAGAGGCCAAAGGAATCACGAGCGCGACTCGCTTATCGTATGAACTTGGGGCAACTTTAATCTTTGTCAATTCATCTCTCAACCCTCTCATTTATTGTTGGCGCTTGCGTGAAATAAATGAGGCCGTAAGACAGATGCTGAGGAGTTTACACAGCTGAGAACTGACAACTGAAACAGATTCGCTTTCAGCGCAATTTTCTGATTAAAAGATAACCTGGTTAATATCGCGAATAGAAGAAGGGGTCTAAAAAAAGGGAGATGAAATTTTGATAAGTACATCTTTTATTGAAATGAAAATTTTAATTACTTCTGATTTCCGACTTCATGCCAAGAGAGTGGTTCGTTGCGAAATGAAACAAAAATAATTTGTCCAGCATGGAAGTTTTTCAGTTTGCTTTTTTGTTTGCGCAATAAACTTCGTTGCGGAGAACGACTTAAATTTCCATATGAAAACCGAAAAACTAGAAGTCCTCGTCACCTACATTTTAAAAATGAATGAATTATAATAAATGAATTTGAGAACACAGGATGTATAGAATTGAACGAACAATAGTGTGTTAAAAATATTACAGTTAGAGAGCAATCAATCTACCAGCGCTTATTTGGTGTTCTCCGCCAACTTCAGCGGAAATTAATCTTTGCAACACATCTGTAAAACTAGGAATCTAAACTTCGTTTTACAGTTTTCCGTTTAACTTGTACAGGCACCTCCTATTTTTCCGTGCTTCTCTTCCTCGAATGATCGCGGATGAAGCGCGAGGTCCGTTGAGTGCGGGAAAAAAAATCCAGAGTTTATTTTCAGTTTTAATGTGACAGCCTCTAGGCCAAAATTGTTATGTAATTTCTTCCTCATTGACAACACTTCAGAGCGCTGCACTTTCTCTCCCTTTTATCACGTTCAAAAAGGATTTGTCAAAGTTGTAGATTTATTACGATAAGTTTTAGTTAACAATGAACGTTTCCAAGAAGTCACATATCTAAGAAGATCTATATTCGACATTTCCGTTCTTTCCGGCGTACTTGCTTGAGCCTCGGCACTATAAATTGCTAAGATAATGGATCAATTGCTTTAAAAGATCTCCAGTCTGATTCTTAACTGCCTTAATTACATACATAACGTGGCCCATGAAGAGGCGAACAAACACTTTAAACTGAAAAATGCTCTAAAAAGTTCTTTATGTCAGTTCACCTCACATCATTCATTTGCAGCGAAAGCTTTGCACGTGGTCTGGACGCGCACGCAAAAAGACGATTTTCTTGTTAGAAGAGGTCCTTCATGTGCATCCATGTGAATCCACGGTTAAAGAAAAAAAATCAATATTCCATTTGGAAGATAATTATGTGAACACTATGATATAGAACCCCTCCGTTTAAAGAAAAGTCTTTAAAGATGCCGGTTAAAGAGAATAAAAATTTAATAATTTTTCCAATTTCCTTATTCATTTGACCCATGTCGATCAATAGGTTCGTAAGTTCTGCAGGTCCTCTAGTTGCCTGACACCAACATCGACAATAGTGGTTTCTCCGCATGAGATTGAAACACCTCATGGAGTACTCAAGTAGATAATTTTGTTTAATTTCTGGCCCTGAGTAAAGCCTTAATAACAGTATGAATAATAACTTCTGTAAACTGAATATTAGGCTCCAGAAATCATTTGAAAATTTCTTCAATCTTGCTATGATATGGTGAGTCCGGCGATTTTGTAACTGGAAAAAAAATTGCCCTATAAACTCCCCTAAAAAAAGATAAGACTTATTCTTGTTTTGAGAGCAGAACAAATCAAAATATGTTTTTTTTATTTCATTTCACTTTTCGAAAAAGACAAATTTCAGCCATGAGTTACATGGCTCTTGACTGGACAAGGTACTATATTCATCTGAGTTAACAACGTAAATTGACCACCGGAAAGAGTTTAAAAGCTAACGTTTCGAGCGTTAGTCCTTTGTCAATCGCTCTGACGAAGGGCTAATGCTCAAAACATCAGTTTTTAGACTCTTTACGGTAGCCAATTTACGTTATCAACTCAGTTGATAAAACTAAATTACCCTGTTATACGTTCCCATCGACGCGGCAGCACCACAGTTTCTTTAGAAACTTACCCCTTTTATTAATTTACTCAGCTATCGACTTTCGCACTTACTTGAAAAAGCTGATTAAACTAAACGAAGTAAATAAACGAGGATAGTCCGAAAGAAATTTATTAGTTGGAGGTTATTATTTACTCGAAAATTGGGTAGATAATGGATGAAGTGTTACATTTCGGCTTCTGTCCGACTGTCTGATAAAATTGATTGAAATATTTTTTGTGGTAATAGTGCGCCGCTCAGGTAAAACCACAATCGATGTTAGCGTAACAGCCTTCAGAACGAAGGTAAACATTAACAATGAAGGTAAAACTTTACAATGAGACAACTAAAAGTAAAAACAATCAAGCTACATAAAGCGCGGGAAAACGCAGGTGAACAAGGCAAGATTGGTTGTAGCTTTGATTCTGATTGGTATATGTAGAAAGGGTCGTGTGAGCCTTCTGAGCTTAGCAAGGCAAGCTTGATGTAATCTCGGATTACAACAAAAATGAAAATTTATCACAAATGTGAGACGGTTTTCCGTATCTAGGGTCAGTTGCACCTTGCCGCAATTTTATTGACAAATGATTCCTAATTCCACTTCTAGGGTGCCCTTCTCTTGGACTCACTTTCTCCATCGAAACTACACTTTTAAGATATTTTTCACCATCAATAACAGCGTTTTTCATGACGAATTTTCTCTCGTAAAGAGAAATTCCTCGACATTGCATTTCTGGCCAGTAGAGAACTGGTAACTTGAGAAGCTTTTTCTGCAGTATTTACATAATGAGTGATTTTAATGCCTTAAAGCAGTCTATAAGTACATAACTCCAAGCGTAACATAACAGAGTATTTAAGATGCACCTAAATTAAAAAGAAAATAATATATGGAAGAGAAAAGATGAAGTTAACCTTTAAAGTCTTATGTTGAACCATCACCAACCTTAACTCTTTACACCCCAACATTAGTTTGCATATTCTCCGTATTGTTCTCTATACACTTACTAACGCGCTGACAAGGAGAATTTGTTGAATAATCAAGGGCTTCTTAAGGCTGGTGATCGTTTCCTTTATTCTCGTGATCCTAATGTGTGATTCGGAGGTGTTATTGTGAGGAGAAATTAGACTCTAGTCACTCTTAGGGTTTAAAGGGTTAAGGCATATTTCCAAAAGGAATCGGAAATGATCAGACACGTTTTGACATTTTTTGAGAGAAAACAACTGGAGCAATTTTTTGAGTGGGTAGATACCCAGAAACTGATCGCTTAAGACTGGATCAGAAAAACTTAGTATGTTGTAGCAGGCTAAACTCATTAAACAAAATATTGTAAGTGAATCTAAACACATTATCAGTTACCCTTAAAGTTTGACATAGATTTCTGGCAATTTTCATTCTGATAAGTTAATGACGACTCAGACATATAATTTCCAGGCAAATGATTTTAGCTTCGTCCTTCTCTCGTAAAATGTAGAGCTCATATTTTTTTTATCAGAAAATTTGATCAATCATCGTAGGAATTAAATGGGTGGAGGCATAGCCGAGGCTCAAACTACATGACAAATACCAAAGCCTAATAACACAAGTTATAATGTTCATTATAATGATAAATCCTCCCCAAGATTAAATCATATCTTTAATGCACGTAGGTTCAAATTCTGGTTACATAGCTTCAATCTTTGTTGTAATGTAATTGAATGTTCGGGATGCCTACATACATACAGGCATTCAGGATGGATCTGCAGCAAATTGCGACGGGTCTTCTGATCTCTTCTCATACATCTTGGCCTTTTGATTTCTGAACTTAGTTACCTGGCATTGAATACATGCACAGAAGTCCATTTGCACTGATGAGTTCATCTGCTGAACGCTCTCCTGAAAAAACTTCTTTCTGATTTCTCGAACTTAGACTAGGATGAGTGAATCTCGGGCCTGCACCATTTGGTTTCAGAATTCCAGTACGCTCTTCTCTCTCTTCTCCTTGCTCATTTGACAGTACATGCGTCGGGTGTAAAGAAGGACAAGTGGTAAGTCGGTTGTCAGTAGCTAAGCCAGCACTCATGGAGCCAGCTGTAACTGGCGCTACTCCAAACACGGCATGAGACTTAACTTGACACGAGCAGTAATTGTGCGCCCGTGGAAGAGGCCAACGTCGCTCAGCGTTACTATAGGTATAAAATGCGCACACATCAGGACGCTCCTCGCAGCGTAACGGTCGAATATTGCTTTCTCTCTTGCGCCATTTGGATCGACGATTTTGAAACCAAACCTAAAATTAAAGAAATATGTTTTTCGTCTTGTCACCAGCGTGGGACAAAGAAAAATTCTGAGTACCCATGAGGAATCGAACCTCAGACCTTCGGATAGCCTGCAGTACAGGCGTCTTGTTAGTTCGAGCTAACACTAAAAGCTCGCGATCGTTTATTCCACCGGCCATTTTTGATTTGCAGTTAGAGTGGACGGTGAGAGTGGGGGGCGGAGAAGGGGAGAAATCTTCACTTCCCTACCCCCATCCCTCTCCTTATTTTTGACCGTCGACCGCCCCCTTGGTATAAATTTTTCCTCTCCCCAGCCTTCCGCTGCCATTAAAATCAAAGGTGGTGACCATAATATTCGTCATGAAATTACTTAGCACTCGCTAGCCTAAATTACGCCTGCTTTGCAGGCTAACCTTCGGATTCCGCGCTCCGATGCTCTACCACTGAGCCAAAGAGACTCCACGATGAGCGAGGTCTATTAAGAAGTTCATTTGACAAAATTGTAGATGACGGAAATCCTAGCTTCAGCTTTTAGCGAGCGGCTACTCAAATAAAGATTGACTTAGAATGTCAAAGTTGAGCGAATGACGTAAAGCAGCTGAAAATGAATGTATTTATTCTTCATCACGAGAGATACTGGAACCTGGTAATTAGCGGTGGCATTAGAAAGCATTCTACTAAAAACATCGAGAAAAATGTATAACTAGAAGAATTAACAATAATATATTGGAAAATTTAAATGTTTGAATAACAAGGTCTGACCTGTACACACGCCTCACTGATTCCCAGTTCCGCGGCTAGCGCCTCACGAATTGTTACTCCGGGATACTTATTCCACTGAAACACCGACTGCATCCTCTCCAGTTGCCGTACAGTGAAGGCTGTTCGCTTGCGGCGTAATCCTTTTCTGTCCTGTTTTGGCCCCGGTGCCTTCCTTCCTACAGTTCCTGATTGCCTTAAACTTCCCTCATCTGTTAAGAGAATTTTTTCATTTGTCCGTTTGTTAATAATTGGGCGGCTGTGTTACAGAGCTAGGAGTCTCTGACTCTGTAAACAGTCAGGTAGCCGATAAAAATTTTTCAGTTGGTTCATCAAAACTAATGTTTGTTTTTTCAAAAGAGTGTTGAAAGATGATTGTCCAGATCACTGTACAGCTAATATATGAGGGGGAGGCGGGGGAGAGAAAGAAGGACCAATCAGGAAGTGGCCCAAACTCACAATTTAAAAACAACGTCTTTCAGTATATCAGATTCAGTTCACAACTTGTGAATGGTACATGACGTCAGTTTCCCAACGGCTACCAATCTCATTTTAGAAAAGAGGAGGGCGGGTTCCACGAAGGTTACAAAAGAGAAGGCGCTATGGAAGCAAGTGATTTACCAGATATATGGATTTTTCACGAAGCAAACAGTTATTTTCCATACTATGAGTTTTTTCAAATGACACAAAATACGAGTATAGAGTTCATGATGTGTTAAAGCACGAAAAGAAGTAAAGGGAAGTTGCGCAGTCCAGGTCACAAAATGCATCAACAAAACATTTTTTACAGCCCATCAAGCAGAGCGAATCAAAGGAAAGGCGTGGAAATTAAGATAATCCCACGATATGTTCTGTTACGTCCAAGGTCTGACATACTTTCGCTATAGTGTATCAAGACAGTGTGATCTCGTAGTAATGTTAAAATCGGATACAGTGAACATCATCCAATTTATGGTTAATTACTTTGGTTCAACTCTCAGTGGGACATCAAGTCTTTGATGACTGATAATTGGTAATTTTCTTCGTAAACAACGTATCAGCCAGAGATCAGCCTTTACTGAAGTAAAATTGGCTTTCCTTTTCGCTCAGTGTGTGTTCACATTTTACAGAAACGGCTACACTTGCGACGAATTAATCTCAGCTTAAAGGAGGGAAGAAAATAAAGCAGACAGAGCATACTTGGTGGTCAACCTCGTGGTCTGCGGGGAAAAGTGAGCTCGTTGTTAAGTCGATGAAACCACCTGAATCAAAAACTCACCTACTCCATGGTCCACCTGTTCTCGTTTTATGCTCACGTTCTGATCCATTATGCTCTCATCCAAGGGAAACTTCTCCTTATACGAGCTCTCTTTAAGCGTTCATGAAGTTCGTCTTACTCTGCCGTGCAACCAAAGAGAGGGTCATTTTCTCAAAGAAGGCCGCTTCTCAATTCCGGAAGTTACGTAAGCTGTCGCAGAGTTTGTTACAACCAAAAATAACACTTCTCTGACATCACCGAGAGAAATTTCTCGGGCATGATTCAAAATATTTTGAAGTAAAAAGAGATAAATTGATTTTAATTTTATGGTAAAGTGGCCAAGACAGAACCAAAATTTTAGGATGTCTTGTGTAGAAGATTACAACTTGCGTGACAGGCGAATTTGTCACTTTCGTGACAAAAAATATTCCATAATGTTCTTGATCGTACCTGGCACTAATGACAGTTGTTCGTTGGGCCCTCTTTCCTGAAGAGTCTACGTTGCAGCTTTGCTAGAGACGTGTTCTCAACGTTAGACGTAACAATATTCAAGGTTAGTGAAAATCTTACTTATTTTATTTAAAGAAAAAGCCGATTCATCAGCCCTCATGTGATATCCACATGACTTCTCAGTATGTTATGCGAGCTATAGTATGTCACTTTTTGAACATAAACAGAATTTATTTGTTACTAAAACGAAAGGGAAAGAACGATCATTCAATTTTAACCGATAGATCTCCGCCTATAAAAAACGTTCGTTTCGATCAGTGAGAAGATAATTTGGAGTACTTTGATATTCAGAGACGAGAATCAAAATCGAGGAGGACAAATTAAAGAAATTTCTTCTGTGCGCATAATGAAAAATAAATAAATAAATAGAAAAAAAAAGAATCGGTTCATAGGATTTGCCCGTTACCTAGGCACTACCCTCTTATGACATTGTCGTACCCGAGACATTCAAAATTTTACAATACCTTCTCAAGCTATCGCTCAATCAGGGCTCTTTCTTATAACTAGTGCATGTACTTTCCACTTAGCTCGAGATAGCCTGCTCCGAAGACACATAGAGGCTACTTAAAGGATGGCTCAATCGGGCATTTATACATAACATCTTCCAAAAATGTCGTAAAATTTAACGATGTCTCTCTTAGTTTTCCAGTATTAGGGGTGTTATCTCTTTTTCCCACTTTCGCCAAAAAATTAATAAATACTGAATTTTTGAAAAAAAAAACCCAGCTATAAGGTCACACAAGGGTTTGACAGAGCGCACTGTCGAATCGATGTTGTAATGGATAAGAACCTCTCTCTGGCTTCAAACATCTTGATCGAAGGTTTCCTTGAAAATAGCGGAGGGAATATTAAAGATTAAACTGTATCTGATTGTATGTGCTTATTTCCCTCATGGTTTCAACCCCGATCTGACGTCTCGTGGGACATATTTTGGTAGAGAAAGACATCTGATAAAGAGACTAGCTCCGCTCGGGTGCCCTCTATTGCCTGTGTAAGATTTAGAAACTTCAAGAGGCTATCAAAGAGCGAACGGTGAGCTGTTTAATTAGCACGTGTCTCTCATTTTTCTCCATGTTTAAATCTTAGCCATGAACATGGAAAACCCCGGCGTGCAGACAAGCACACAAGTCGCGAAATTAGCATGGTCATACGTGTATCTCGAATTAATTTGTCCTCATCAACAATGTTGTTAGGGATATTGAGACTGTGTGACTCGCAAGTTTAACTTTTTACACTGATTCTTGCTTGGGAGACGGATGAAAATCGTGTCATACATTTAAAAACTGTTTTGTTTTTCATATTTTTTTTTAAACCGAACTAACGAAACGAATAACATTTTTGTAATATGATCTGTCAATGTTAATTTCTTCACATCTCCATTTACACACTTCTCTCCAGAACTTTGTGATACGAGAAAGTTTTAAAATACTCTCCTACCCATACACCGCGTGCTGTAATTTCTTGAAACGTATGAGATGCACATTGTCAATAGCTTATGTATAAGGATGAACAGGAGCTTCCCTATAGGGTATTTAGAGTTATTTTTGGAAGTGACATCCTTACATATGACTTGGTGTTTGCCCTTATTTACCGAAAACCAAACAATGACGTCGTTACTTTTGTTTTCAAGTATGGACAAGTTCCTGTTCAACAACTACAGGAAACACAATCCGCACATATTTTGGTCATTAAAAAAAAACGATACTTGGCCGCCTTAATAATTCATGTCCTAAAAGAGAGGAAGTCATCTGGAATGATACGAATGAAAAGTTATCCGACTTTTAACTGATGCGTTGTGACTGAACCTGATAAAATCTTGAATATTCTTCAATATGAGTAAAGGCGGTTAGACTTCAGGTAGGTCTTCGACAGTTGTGATTGCTGGGGTTTTACAGTGCAAACGGTACTTAGTATTTGTTCACGATAAGCGATGATTCGAGTTCATCGAATATTTTATGAGAACTTATGACACTTGGGCTAAGCCTTTCAATATCTATTACATTATACGTCATTGGAACACACATAAGATATACATACATTACCGCTTATGTGCTATTCCTAAGACGTTCCTGATAGAAACGAAATGTGATGCGCTTGAGACGACATTAGAAATATATAAAAACTGGAATACCCTTTCACTTTTACAGAGCCATTAACAATGGAGATTCACGATGTGATGCTTCTCTTCTTAGCTGCTGTCTTGACAACAGCCACAGGTATGCACGCATATTTTTTATGTGACTTTATTCTGCGTTATGTAATCAAACGACTACAATATATGATTCACTGCTCGACCACAAAATACTCGACGCGAATGTAAGATCCACTATCAAACAGTCTTTCCCGAGGGTTTGACCTTATTTTACGGGTCTTCGCGGGGCTAAGTCGCTGAAGAGGTGATTGCTACCTTCAGTCTTCGAAGAGGGGTCGATCTTTCTAATATGTGCTCAGTCAACGGACCGAATGTGTATTTAGCTTCCAATGAAATATTTGTGCGAGCCGTCTAACCTGGCAAGAATATCGAATGACTTAGAATCATTTGCACGTCAGGCAAAAGCGATGGACAGAACTCGACAAAAAAAACCTTCAGAGGTGGCCTGTGCTTATTTGGAATTTTTGGAATTAATTGTAACACACAAATGTTGTTGCTGGATTGGCGATCAAACACAAACAAAATAAAAAATGTTTAGGCCATGTTATGGTTGAGTAGGCTGCTGATTATATGATGTTGGCATGAATGAAAGCTGATATTTAGTCTAATTGCAGTTGTACTAAAAATAACTGTTTAAGCTGAAGCTTCCTTTGTACTAAACACAAGTGACACTTTTATATGCTTTCTTCACATTTTCAGTCGTGAAAGATAATTAGGCAAGCTTTTAAACAAGCGCCGCCAAAGGTGGCATTTTGCTTTCATTTTTTTGACTTTTGACCCAGTAAATAGAAAATGGATGAACACTCATGTAATCTACTGGCAACCTTCAGAGCTGTAAGTTTTACCAGACTTATCTGCGCGAAGGGAGAAAATTTTGCCTCCGATTTCTCGCTTCTTTTCGGGATTTTTAACGTTTGAACTTAGCCTTTGCAGCTCTGTTTGCGACGGAAGAAACTGTTAAACATTTTTTGAGCTGGGACGAATTTCTCGCCATAAATAGAAGACAGTAAAGGGACACCTTATTGCTGCCTTGCCTATCGTAACCGCTTTTCCAAGAATTTTACTTTGAATCAGTAGTACGTCGGCTTTACTTCGGTGGAGCAAATACTTTAGCCGTGTTATTTCGCTAACGAAAAAAATTTTAATGCTGGAGTAACGAATCTTAAAATGTTTTTTCAGGTTTCAAATTCGTCCAGCTCTCAACTCTCAGCGGGCAGGAGTAAAAATAAATTTAAAAATTTTAAAAATTTTAAATTTTTTCTAGCCATAATTTTAGGGCTTCGTTTTCCGGTTGTAAACTGAGCTGACCTGTACAAAGAATGCTATGTTTTTTCTATCACTCTCTTTTTTTCAAAAAGTTACATTTATTGTCTCACGATAAAACGTCAGATGACTTTTTCAAATTTAAGCACGAGTAATTAACACCCTATATCTCAGTCAGCATACATACATCTTTACATCTTTAAGGTGACGAGAAGGAGAGAATCGTCGAATAGGGCTAAGAGTAAGGGGTCACGTGAAGATGTAACAAAAAATTCTCATAACAGACCTTCAAGAAATGTGCATAGAATAAGGCTGTACATATTGGGACCCGGCGAAGGTTGAAGGGAGGATATACTGGAAGGAATATCTTTCATTTACTATTTAACTCGTCAACAATAAATATATCATCAAGTTGTAAATAAGTTTAAACTTAATCATTATTACTGTTTCTTTGTCACTCATGTACAAAACTGTTTGATTGCAGCCAGCACAATGCCATTTAGAGATCAGTGTTTGTATTGGCACAACTACTTCCGCACACTTCATCAGGTAAATGCACTTAATTCCCTGCGCATGTTCAACATACTCACCTCAAAGATGCGTTTGTCGTTCCTTTTTTAAGCCCCAAAAGTATAAACGAAAATTTCCCGAACCATTATGTACCATCATTCTCATAGTCCCTCACTGCCTGTGACTTAAGCGGACCAGTTACGAGACATCTCTCGACCTCTCCATAGACTTCATGTTCATCTCAAAGGCGCATTCAAGGAGGTTTGTAAGGGGGGAGGGGAGTTGTGGGGGGAAGCGCGGAGGAGTTTTAGGCTCCAGGTCCTTGATCGAAAATTTCTTCAAAAGTGACAACCTACAATGATAAAAATATAACTTTTCAACGCCCATTACCAGTCAGGGCCACTCTTCTGGACAGTCTCAGGGCCCTCTAGTTCATTTTCAGAGATAAAATAATTGGCAAAATTCCCCAGTCTGAAATATATTTTGTGTCAGCCATATCCATAAAACAGTCTCATTAATTTGAGGCTCATGCACCACGCATTTTTTTCAAGTGGCCTATGCTTGTTTCTACAGGCTCCTCCTGTCACGTGGTCAATGGAACTTCAAAAGGAGGCGGAAGATTGGGTAAACTATCTGGCAGAAAACGACAAATTTCACCACAGTGCCAAGAATCCTGGGAATTTGTACTTGGCAAGTGACAGACCCAAGGAGTATTGCACTGATGCTGTTCAGTGGTTCCACTGGGAGGAGAAATTTTATAACTATAGCAATCCTAAATACTACAAGGCAGCTGGACATTTTACACAGGTAGGCTCTGGGGCAGAGATATACAAGTGGAAATACAGATGTATCGGTTGCTTCATATTTGGGGTGGTACAGTTAAGTCAAAGTAAAGATATATACGATATGGAAGTTGTAAAGTGCGTTAAAATGTGTTGTGCACAAGCCCTCTTTGGAAAATAGGTATTTATTTGAGTCATAGCTTAGAAACTTTTTTATGTTGAATCAGGTTTGCTTTCCTTTTAAAAGTTTCATTTCAGTAATCTGTGATTCTAGTTTAAAAAGCTTTTATCCTGGGAAAAGGGGTTAATTAATGGAAATCATAACCTTAACAGAATCACCTCAGGGAACGGGGAGGGGGAATAATCATATGTACTATTCAAATCAACAACATTCGCCCGTGAACAGGTGTTTAAACGGGATCTTTGTTCCAAGATAAAACTATGTATAGCCGCTGCCCGCATCAGTTTCCCGTTAAAAACGATTGTTACTTAACAGCAATATCTATTTATGAGTACACTTCTTTTTTTGTCTTTGTTTGCGATTTCTCAGGTGATATGGAAAAACTCAAGACAAATTGGGGCTGCTTGGGCTATTCGTAAGGACAAAAGGCTTGTTATATCGATCAAGTACAAACCTGGCGGTAACGTCGTCAACTATTTTGGTAAAAATGTTCTTCCACCAACCGCTGCTCTCTTGGGACCAGAATGGACGCGAGTTCCACCGAAGTTTACTAGGTGTCCGAGTTTGATTACTACAACTGCTGGCACTAAGAAAGTGGAAACTAAGGAAGAGGGAACTATGTCGGACATATTCGCCGCATCAGAGAGGACTGTGTCAAATATTGTGAACTTTACCGGTTCTCTTGTTCTTGCAATGTTAATTTCTTAATATTCTTTATACTTTGTAAGCCCCCGCACGGATGGATAGGTTCCCTGGTTTCAAGTAATTTTAGTTGCTAACCCTGTGTTTTTGGGTAGATGGTTTCCGAGCGACACATCTCTGAGTTTAATGGTTATTTATTTAATTCAAATATAGATATATGAAAACTTTTACAACGCCAGGTTGCCACCTTAAACGGAGGGTTTTTAGTTCCAGGTTTCTAATCGAAAATTATGCAAAAATGCTGAAATTGTATACAAGGCGGAACAAGATTCAGTAGTACAAATATTGTTCATACCTAAGTAAGTTAAGTTAAGTAAGGGGGTAAGTTTCTGAAGAAACTGTGGTGCTACGTCGGTGGGAGAGTGTAACAGGGTAATTTAGTATTATCAACTGAGTTGATAACGTAAATTGGCCACTGTAAAGAACTTAAAAGCTTTACGGTGGCCAAGTTACGTTATCAACTCAGTTGATGATACTAAACTACCCTATAACTTACAAATAGGTCCTGACACAAGATTTATTGTCTTATACTGAGGTGAATAATAATGATATATTGTGGATAAATACGAGTTGAACACTATTCAATAGAACCACTTAGAAAGGAGATAAACGATTACAATTGTTTCATACGACGATCACGGCGCGCGCAATATTTAAGGTGCTGTGCTTGCAATCACTGCGTCGGAATATTATCAGCCGTCTGTTCCTATGTAGAATATGAGGGGAATCTTAAAAAGTTAGTTTGCTTAGACAGAAAAAAAAACACAAAATGAGAATAATAAGCAAAAACGAAATGAGGAGGGTTAAGAATGTTAAGAATAAAGAGAAATTAGCACGGATTGAAAATGAAAAACTTGAGAACTTTGGGCATAGCTTCATACATTCACAAACAGCGAGGCAGCGTCTTTAAAAGAATGTTCATGTTGACTAATTTCCTGTCATGCATGGTAATGTACAAATCAAACACGACATAAAAAGATGCTCTGTTCCAATGTAAGGAACGCTAATAATGTTTTCAAAGCTCCATTACATGTAAGCATTTAAAAAATATTTTAAATGGATCAATAAATTTTCATTGATGAATATAATTTATGTGATTGATGAGAGAAACTTAAATTAAGTGTTCGATGTGACCAGCTCTTCCACTTCCGGGGTGTCGATTTCCCTTTCCCAAAATTTCAAGGCTTTCGTACATCCCACGCACTCATTCTCCTACGCTTTCCTCTCCATTCTTCAAAGTATTACGTTACCAATGTAATATGTATGGTTCTGAAAATTAATAGGGTTACTTATTTCGCTTGTAACTGAATACATGTTAGTCTGATTTTCTGCTTAGTACCGGCAGCTTATCACATCCATTTGAATATATTCCGCTTTAACAATAAGCCAGCAGTCATAGTAATGTTCTGGCGAAGTCATCGTAAAGTTGTTTGACTTTGTGTAAATTACAGCAAGCTACACCATACACATTAGGGTTTAAAAAAAGCACAGGACTAGTTAACACCCACTAACTGTCTTTGTCATTTGGATAGGGCGCGGTGAGTGTAGTAAATTTGAGAGTTTCAATGTGGTTTAACCTTCAGCTGTTCACTGAAAAAGGATCTTTGCGATCTATTATCGTCCATACGAGTGCTAAGCTCGGCTTAAGGTGTTTTGGTAATTAGGGAGGAGTTGGACTGACTCAGCCGGATATTTGAGACGTGAATAGTGGTAAGAGGTCGAGGGTATTTTTTTTCATGGTGCGTGCTGAAAATGTTTTTTTTCTTTCTCATTGATTGACTGAGTAACGTCAACGATCGTTACAAGCTATTGTATTCGCTCTTTGATTACTGTTTGCGTCTTGAATAGACCTGCCCTATCGCGTCTATGATATAAAATTATTTTAAAAAACATCTGAATTGAATCCTTTATTTGCCGGCTATATCTCTTTAATATGCCAGGTATCATTAGACCGCAATAAGTCTTCGGCTTCTTTTTCTTTTTTCAGAACTTCCTATGGCAGGTAAGATCTATCAGTGACAATGTTCTTCGCAGTCAAGAGTTATGAGCGAATCTGGGTCCAAATTGTTGGAAAGTCTTTGAAAACAATTCCGCAACATAATCTGCCGAACACGCCGTTTTATGTTTCGAATACTTTTCGCGGATTGTATAATTACTGCTGCATCGTTCGGACTGATAAAACTTTACTAACAGTCTCGATCCTATTAGAGCTTTATAAGTCTCCTGGCTGAACAGATCAATATCTACACTGAAAACAATGTCGGGTACATCTTACGATTTGTGCTTTCCCCAAATAGTTTGACAACGACTGGGTGGCGGAAACGTGGAAAAATGAGCTTCTTGTATTTCTTCTTCGTATCGGATAGCTTGACTTCTCTCTCTCTCTCTCTCTCTCTCTCTCTCTCTCTCTCTGTTTTAGAGTTCTGTATTTGGTTCTATGTACAGATTGTTCTTGTGGCTCGACTCATTGTTAGTCCGAGATTTATTCCTGTTTTCCTTTTATTCTACGCCGATCCAATTCCCTCAATAATGTCAAGAATGTTAAGCTTTTTGTTCATTGACACACTTCATAACTAAGATAAGGGGGGGCATGGCTTCCTTTATTGCTTTTTGGGAGTATTAATTTTGTTGTTTATGAGAATTGTGACTAAAGAGATAAAATCTTTGCATGAAATGTTGAGACATCTGCGCCAGTCATACATGGTTTAAGGTGTCCGGCAGTGACATTGAGTTATTTTAGGAGTCTTCCTCCAAAAGTTATCTCACTGTTCTGTCAAAACGCTTAACCTAAAAGGCCACGCGCATATATCAAACTGAGATAATAAGCCACTCCCGGCTTTTCTTTAGCGAAGTCTAGTGTGTGAAGTGCTAACAAGGGCTATCAGTCTGCTGATATGATAGAATCTAATTGCCCTTTCCAAACCTTCGTTCATTTTTCTAAGACGGTTTCACAGATTAGTTTCTAAGAATATCTAAGCTGCAGCTTTAATTTTTAGGGGAGAACTTGCAAAGGCAAGTTCATATATTTTCTACAACAGGAACAGAGTACAATGTTGATACAGTCAACAAAGTCTCGCCAGTACATTTCAACGTTCAATTACTGTAATCTGAATGTAGTATTTCCCATGGGGTTGGACGCGGTTCTTAAGAGTATAGTATTATACAGTGTATGCATGCTTATCTTAGTCGTAAGGACAAGTTTCAACTCTCTATATTCTACTCTAAGACTGGATTGTTGTGCCCGGGCTTCACCCTTTGTTCAAACGCAAGGAGGCATGCTCGAGTTACTTATTTGTAGCGTTATTTGTGATTCAACTTAGAAAAAGTCGGGATCGTTAGGTATTATCTTTTTTGAGGAGCACTTTCTACTTTCGAGCATTTTAAGACTTAAAAAAACCCAAGGAAAGACCCATAAAGCCAGAGGGGTGTTAGGTGTTTTCGTCTTATTGTAGTGTCCAACAAAATACCCCCTGGCGGCATATTTTCGGTCACATGTTACTGTTAATATATAACCTTTTCAACAAGTCTGCTTGAAACGTAATGAGATGTGCATACAAGAATCGAACCTGTGGTGACATCTCGTTCGGTATTGTTTCTGTTGTAGCTGTTGCCATTTCACTCGGACGTTTCAGTCGTCGTTCAGTCGCACAACCAAGAAACCAATGAAGATATCACAGCTTATAGTTGTGGTGATTCCGTTTACAGGCTTCTTGAATTTGTGCTCAGGTATTTATTTTTCCTTTACGTTCCTTGTGTATGTGTGTACCTTGTGTCTGCTTAAAATATATGATATGAGTGCATGTACAATACTATCTGAAGAGGGACAAAAAATCTATTTAGAAAGCGGTAAGGAAGAAGTTAACCTAGGCAACTGGATATCTGTAAGAATAAAAATAATCAATCGTGACAGAATATCCAGTTCAAACTAAATGGAATCATGCCGGCGATAGAGAATAATTTGCATAAGTAGAAAATAGAGATCTTGCATAATCGGAGTGAGCTAATTGCTCCAACTGCGTAGGATGTCTCTAAAATTTGCCGCGATAAAAACCGCCATACTTCGATGAAGCTTTATAAAAAAAAAAAAAAACGGTCAGGTCTTCGGTCTCGTAATCCGAAGAGCGAAACTATAGCTGAGAAATAATTTCATTGTTAAATAGCCTTTCTTTTTATATGTATTCCTCTTATGTATATTATATTGATCACTCTTAATCGCTGGTCATCGATTGCATTGATAAATACACAAGGAGAGATAAGGCAGATGAAGGAGCAAATTACTGTGGGTGAATAACTTAGCGCAATCACACGCGCGCATCAGCAAAAGAATACAACGAAATTAAACGGTCTTTCTATTTTCAACTATAGAGGCTCGCTTCATTGATTTTCATTGTGTTGCCAACACTCAGGAGAGTTCAATATATAGAGACCGCTAGTTCCGGTATTTTTAAAGTCGGTTTTATGTCTGCAAAGCATCGTGGGTATTCACATCTATTTTCTCTAAACCTGACTGCCCTGTCGCTTATGAAAGAACTTTATAAGCTACGCTTGATATAAATTGTCTCAAGGGTGCTTTCCATTTTAAAGTGCTTGTCTTTAAACGTTATGCTTTGTCTTCGAGTCTTGTGTGCTTTCTTTCTTCGATGAGATACAAATGATCGATATTATGCTAGTTTTAAGGCAATTTGTGTAAACAGTGGTGCCCTCAAAGTCATCAATTTTTCATAAAAAGTTCATTTTACTTGCTAATGATATCTCTTTGCTCATTTCGTAACTCTAAATTAAGAAATAAATCCCATCGAAGATTTTTCCCTCAGGCATGTTTGACCTCCGGAAAGTGAATAAGACTCGTATGACACCTAGACTAAACTTGAGGACACTTTAAGTAGATAAGTGTGGCTGGGTGACATATTTCGGCCTTAACATTGCTTTAATTTGAATGCATTTTTTGTGCTAGTATGTCAAAAATGCATTAGAAAAAGTTGCTTTTGGCAAGCAAGTAAGTAGACTTAACACTTTTTTTTAACTTTTCATGAATGTTACTCGCTGAAAATTAATGAAAAGCCTAATTGGCTCAGACCTATTTAGGAGGATTTACTCCATGTGCGGGTATATGCTTACTAAGACTTAAAAGTGATCCTGATAAGCCTATGTGAAACAATTTGTATGCGGCGTAAAGATGAAATTCTGAATGAAGAGGAAGGGGACCCCTTTCTAATAAACTTCTCAAGATCAGACCGGTCTGACTGATTTGTTGAGCTACTAGCTGTAGACAGATCTTAAAGTTGAGCTCAATGCTCAGTGGAGTCCTGCGGATTCATGTTATAACTTAATGGTGTCCTTGGTAACAGTTGTTTTGATAATTACTGTCAATAACGTTAAAGCATTAGATCAACGAATCAAAACGAGGAGAAAAATATTAAGTTGCAGGTCTCATCCTGTACCATTCAACCCAACGAGACGAACACGACGCAGAGCAGGCAAATATATTCGTCTTAGTACATGTGTCATGCATTTTGTGGAAGGAGTTTACGAAATTGTCTTCGAATTCTGTTGTGACCCTAGCGATGCTCTCTTAGAACAAGCTACTTGTTAAAGGAACGAAATTTCACTGAGTTTCCGGTCCTCAAGTTCGAGGTAAAATCTGTTTTCATATACGCAGTTGATTTCTATTCTCAGATAATTTTTTTCCTACTCGGTGTTCTTACAAGTAAATTAACTCATGAAAACAATTTTGGGATTTTTCCTTGATTAGACGTGATAAAAGTGGGTTATAACAGAGTTATAGTAAACATATTCCTTTCAACCAAGTACTTGACCTCTCGCTGACTGAACTTATAGTGAAACAAAAAAATCAAGACTGTGAATCAATTCATCGAAAAAAAGCAAGGTTTCGTAATGAAAGATCACAAAACTTAATGCATCAGAAATCGGTAAAGAAAACTGAAATGGAAAGTGTGATGATTCGGTTTCCTACATTCCAGAACCTCAGGAATCGACAAGTGGTATAATCCAGTATAGACCACAAGATCGGTTTGAGCCAATTTTCTGTCAAAGTATGTCATCATTTACCGATGGACGTACGTCACTGAGACCTGAATCAAGTTTGGATAAAAGCTACAACAACTAGAACTTGATACGTTCAAACTTGAATCGAGAGCGCGAGGGAAAGAGCTGTTAGATTTATTGCATATATATATACTGACCCAAAGGAGTGGTCTGTGCGACTCAATATGCTGAGTGAAGCCATGCAAATTATTTTCTTGGTGACCTCCTTGGCTGCCATTCTGCCAATAGCAACAGGTATGTGTGTGTTAAATCTTGTGTATTTTCGTTATTTTTTACGCAATCTGACAGTAAATGACTGATTTGTCTACGACTTATAAAAAAATCTTTCTGGAGTCCTGATTATTCCGAGTTGCAGTTTTGTTTTATTGGTCAGTCAAGTTTATCCAAACTGACCAAATAATCCAAGATTGGAAACGAAATATAGCGGAAGTGTAATCATGAATTTCCTGCATCAAATGAAGCATCGCTTGCGATGTGTAACTGCTCATGCAACTTCGTGAAATCCTTAAATATGCAACGAAGGAAGCTCGAAAGCAATGCTGCTTGACAATCGCTTTTTCAATCTTTTCTACAGATATATTATTTCTAGACCTCAAACCTTTCATGACAAGTTATAAATAAGCTTTGAAGGCGGTAGACCTCTGATTGTGCAATATTACACGAGCATTGTATTTTCCTTCTTCGCCTCGCCCAGTTGAAAGAGTGACGCCCAACTTGCCTCTGTGTATATGATTTCTACATTTTAAATACCGTGACTTATCTCGTGGATAATAAAAGAAAGGGCCGGATGATTCCTTTGGAAAGAGTTTGCGATTGTGTTTATACTTCGCACCGTTTCCTTAATGAATGGAATCGGAAACCAAACAAATACTGAGCTGATTTGAAACTGGCTTTTCCTTCAAAATACGCTGAGATGATTCTTGACAGTCAACTTTATTGAGACAAGAAGTTCAGTTCTTCAACGCGTGTAAGACTTAGCGTACACACAGACTCACAAACGATAGGCAAATAATGTGCTTTTGCTTAACCTGGTTGACTGTGTCTGTTGATTTTATTGTTATGTTTACTTCTTATTGCCGAGGAACGTTTTTTTGTCACGCTTTCACCTTAATTTGAAAGATCTTATTCGCAGACCAAATCAGTTCCAGCAGTAGGGGCAAATTGAAAGTTATGACTTGGACCGCTATCGGTTCTCTAATTTCGTGAGGTGGTGTTTTTTTTGTTCATTTTAAATAACTTAAGTCTTCGTGTACTTTAGTTCGAAGAGGTTAAAAAAATAGAAATAAGGATATTGACCGAGAGTGACACACTTCGTTGTTTGAATTCTTCTTTCTGTAAATCAATAAAATTATTTTATCTTATGAACCTTACAGTGGCTACTATGTAAAATAATGGGGTTAAAACGTATCTTACCAAGAAAGTGAACCAATTAGAAACAAAGCTTATCGTAACTTTTCAACACTCAGGCGTTCTTCGCCCTTTTTATGGTTAACTCTTTCAAGTTTTGTTTTCCAACTCGTTTTCACCATTGTCTTCTATGTTTTGACTAGCGGGTGAGGGAATTTCTTTGTTATCAAGTTGGTTTTCTCTGAGATTAAAAGACTTAAGTTAACTTAAGTTGTCACGTGAAGATTAAGAACAATAGTCCAGATTTTTGAGACAAGTGATTCATTAAATTTCAATAAGGACGCTTCCGCTCTGTGTTTTTTTTACTAATTTTTATAAATTCATAACAATCATGATTGCAGGAGCAATGACGTTTAAAGAGCAGTGTATTTATTGGCACAACTATTTTCGGACACTTCATCAGGTAAGAAAAGAAACAGAGGCAACTGGATTGACATGTATGACATTTAGTATAATTATTTCTGATTGCAGTCAATTAATATGCAATCAGACATTGGACCCTCGTAATCACTGCTTCAAAATTTGATCATGCAGGTGTTCATAGCAGTTTTCGAATGGTAGCTTCATCGCTGCTTACAAAACAATAGAACTCGAATATATGGTGCGTCGAACAGCTCGGCTAAGTCACCAAAGTAAATGACGTGAAACAAAAGATTCGAGGGTAAATGATCATTGCACACAGCATAACTCAAAAGCTACTCCCTCAAGTTTTATCACACTGAGAAATGCTTATTTAAGTGTAACGTTTGGACTCTTTTTTTAAGGTTCCAAATGTCACGTGGTCGATGAGTCTACAAAAAGAAGCGGAAGACTGGGTAAAGTATCTGGCAGAAAACAACAAATTTCATCACAGTGCCAAGAATCCCGGGAATTTGTACTTGGCAAGTGACATACCCAAGGAGTATTGCAGTGACGCTGTTCAGTGGTTTCACTGGGAGGAGAAGTTTTATAATTATAGCAATCCTAAATACTACAAGGCAGCTGGACATTTCACACAGGTGATTCAAGAGTTGGGGACAAATTGAGTTAAAAAAGCTGTAATGTTGTTGTTGTTGTTTTACGATAAAAGCTTCATAAACGTCGTACCCTAAAGACTTTGAATGGTCGAGGAAAGCTTTTTGTGTAACTTGAATTAAATTTTTTTGTGTGCGATCCTTCTTTAGAACCTCTTGTTTTATCCAATAGAAAACTAGCTCCTTATAATTTGTAGTGTTTGCACGCGTGTCTAAGCTGGAAAGTAAGAAAAAAGTCAGTTTTTTTTTTGTAAGACACCCGGCGGATTGACAGAAAGCGCCCTTCTGCCCGTTTTACAAAAAAATTGTTAAATTGAAATGAAGTTATGATGATAACAAAAAGGAATTCGCACTATTCGGTTTACTCTTTGTCTGTATAGGGATAGAACAGTATTGTTGACAGCACACCTGAGAACTGTTGTTTGGTTATCATAGTCAACAAGTGTGGCCAGGAGTCCATAATAACGGGCTCCTAGTATGGAACATTATTCATGCCTTATATCATGTTTGTCACATCTCAGGTGATTTGGATGAACTCGAAAGAAATCGGTGCTGCTTGGGCCATTCGAAATGACAGTAGACTTGTTATATCGATCAAGTATAGAACAGGTGGTAATGTCGTTGGCTACTTTCGTAAAAATGTCAAACCACCAACCGCCGCTCTTCTACCCAACTGGCCGTATGCTCCTCCTAGATTTTCCAGATGTCCGATCAGAACTACTACCATCCCACCGACTACTACACCCATCCCTACTAAGCCTGATACAGGAGGTAAAATATAAAGAATAGTCTCCATTTAGTGCAAAATTATGCAAGGATATATGTCTGGGGACATTATCTGTTCCGAGATGCGAAAACTGTGACCTTCGAGGAACAGGTAATGTCCAAGGACAAATATACGCGCATATTTTCGCGCGAACTTGAGACTATTACGTTCATTATCCTTCAAATATTTTGCAACGCGCGTTACAAAATTTTTACAAATAGCCTCCTATTTCCTGTGTGGGATGTTTTTTTTTGAGTGTTCTCTGGTATGACTTTGGAACAAACAAAAATTTCCCTTCTTTTGTAGCAACCACTAAACGCTCTATCATTTTGAGTTAAACTCTAAACGAAGACTTATTGATTGGGTGATATCTTCGGATATCCGCTAGTTCTGGCTGTGAGATATTCGGTCACGTGATGCGTTTAGACCAATCGTGCGCGAGAAATAATATATGATGGATCATAAATAATTATTATTCATAGCACGAGTATAACAGGCGCAGTTATGTATCTTTACATAAGTAGGATTATTCTAAAACTTAGGGGAGTCAATTTTGTAGAAAGTGGCTCCTTTCCCGTCTTATCAATAAAGGGCAAAATTACTGAGCGCTGATTGGTTGAGAGAGAGGGCATTTTTTTTAATCGAGGGCATTTTTAGGAATCAAGAGAGGGCATGATTACCTGTTAATGATTGGCTAATATTCTAAAACTTATTTTCCTTCGTATAAATTTTGCCCTTTATTGATAAACAAGTAATCCCATGAGTCAATTTTGTAGAAAGTGGCTCCTTTCCCGTCTAATCAATCCCACAGTTCACTTCCACTGACTTTTCACCTCATTAAGTGTTCATGACAGTCGAGCCCTTGATGCCTTACGCTCCATTTACGCATGCGATGTTCTTTTCTTTTTTGACTCAGTTAACGCAACACGCATTCATTTCAGTATAGGAAATGTGGCTGTCTCTTTACAGAAGCGTGCACAATTAACTTCATGTTAAAGGAGACCTCAGAGTGACTTTCGAGTGGTGAACCCGTCTGATCATTATGTTCTCTTCTATTCCAGGTACATGGCCATTCAGAGATCAGTGCCTTTACTGGCACAATTACTTCCGGACCCTTCATGAGGTAAATAGACGTTTTGTTAAAGCGAATTTTCCAGGAAGAACGCAGTTAATAACATAAGGACTAAAAACAATAAGAAACACGTTTGATCACTGTTATGTTGTAGTTTTACCGTACCTAAAAAACGACACCAATTCGAAGTTATTTTCTGTAATCCACTCAGAAGAAATAGCGCGTCATTATATTTATCTTAACGGCATAAATATAGTAAGATAGATTTTGTTAACACCCGACTACAACGGGTTCTTAAATTTTGCCAATTTGTGTTTCAAATGTCTAAGGTTCCTTTCGTCACTTGGTCGCTGAGCCTTAAAAAAGAGGCGGAAAACTGGGTTAAGTATCTAGCAGACAACAACAAGCTTGAATTCAAGAATAATTCTGGGAACTTGTACTTGTCAACGGAAAAACCAAGAGAGTACTGTAGTCAAGCTATATGGTGGTTCCATGGCCAAGAGAGATATTACGATTACAAAAATCCTCGTTACATCAAAGCAGCACGAAACTTTACGCAGGTGAGTCAAAAATAAAAAAGTTCAGCGGGCTTTGAATTGCATTTTTGTGATCCACACGTCTCCCTTTCCATGAAAAATAACGTTACTCTATAGAATATCGATAGTAAGTAGTTCAGCAGTCCACATTGTGTGTCGTAAAATTGTTTATAGCCTAAATAGTGCACTCCTAACTCTTCTTTATCTGAATTTTAGCTTATTTGGAAAAGCACGAAACAAATTGGCGCCGCCTGGAAAATCCGTAAGGACGGAAAGCTTATTGTGGCCGTCATGTACGACTCCGAAGGTGGGAACGACAAAGGTAATTTTGAAGACAACGTTTTCCCTCCCTTTGCGGAAACTTTGGGCCCAGATTGGTTGCGGACCCCTCCTGAATCTTCGAGGTGTCCAAGAGAAAACATTGTGACACGTCCCACTAATGAGTCCATCATTTCAACAAGACCTCATGTGAGAGCAGCAGCGGAAAGACCTTGCATTAGCTTGGACCTCTTCATTACATTTGTCATACTTGCAACCTATTTCTGGTAAACGGAAACTAATTCATTTGAATATTTGAAACGTTTACTGATTGCCCTTTGAGACTTCAGTGTCTTCCAAGCACGAATCGCACTCTATCGTACGATACGGTTCTCCAAGTTTTGTGGTAGAGCAGTTCGTTTTTCGTAGAAGAGTACAAGCAGATTCAATATGCTGATTCCTGACTTGGAAATAGCGAGCTTTCTATTGTAAATATTAGATAATTTCCGATGAATATTTAGTTAACACTAAGTTATTTATTGAAAATTACACTGCATGTGAGAAGGACGAATGCGAGTAATAATATTGATGATGATTAGCCTCGGTGCAGGCATCTCCCATTTTCCCCTATCATAAATGATTTCGTAAAGTAATTTTTACAACGTTATAATTAAAGCTATTAATATTTATCTGCGTTACACTACTCGATATACGGTAAAAAGGATTAATTTACCAGAGCTAGAGTAAGGTTTCGTAACGAAACACTTTTGCATGAATCTGTATTAACGGATGACATAAGGACAATTATAAAAACTGGTCGGGGAGGTGGGGGTTTGTCCGTCCATTATTCCTTAAAATGAATTTCAATTAATTCATGAGAAGAGCAAAATTATCAAAAAATCACAGTTTCGGAATACCACCGGTGGTTAACCCTTCAACTCTTAAGATGTAATTGTTAATTCTCCTCTGTAGCTGCTCCACATTTCCTTGTAAATTAGTTACGAGAATTTGGTGTTAAATCAAGATCACAACTATTACCTGAAAAGTTTAAATATTCTCATTACATGTGTACTGGATTATGTATGGATATTATTGGGAGAAGTTACATGTTAATTACCTCTGGAAGTTAAAGGGTTGACGAAGTAACACGTTTTCAGTCAAAGCACAATCAGGTATGTTTTTCTTCAGCCGAATGTACATAAATATATAACGACTGTCGGATGATGGGAGGATGATATCGAACAACTAATATATGATTTTCCTCACAAGTATGAAGTAATGCACAGAAATGATATGATAACGAACATTGATGATTACTTCAACCTACTTTGTAAATTATGTTAAAAACTCAAGCAATGAAATTAAAACTGTTTAAGTGTCTAAAGTATGACGTGTGTGGGACTATGATTCTTACAACCACTCCATATATGCCTCTTTTGTACAGACAGCTGAGAACGTTTGTTTAGTCTCAAAGCGTATGTACCCCTCTTTGTCTACTACGTGCACTGTGTGCATGTCATGTTTGGATGTGGAACAAACTGGGATAGCTGCTTTCCCTTCTCCTTCTTCTACTTTACTACTAACTTCTTTCTAGATACCGATGTCTAAAAGTGTTGTAGAACATCTTAAGCGTGCAAGAAACTATAGCGTATCAGACTCAGTTGTTGAAATTTTGTGGAGGGTGTCCCGCCACGATTACTAGTTCCCTGACTTCATCATAGACCTCAACAAGTCAAGTCACACATCGGTTATCGGTCTTAACGCCTCACTACTACCCTCTTACAGTGGTGTAGTTGTCTCAAGACTCCGTGTTTAACCCAAATGCATTCTCCGACTTTGTAAACTGCTGAGTTTTTGTCACGTGGCCATCTTCCTCCCCTTTGCATTTTGATGTAGAGAAATATGCATCACTACAACTTTTTCAGAGTACTTAGCACCTTTGCTTATGAAGGAGGGAGCAGTGAAGTTATCTCAAAGAACTAATACCATTTGATTACAGAGCAAGCAGAACTTGCTGCATCGTGTACTTTGCTACATTTTTTCACATTATAATCTACTGGATATGAATACGCTGGAAAAAGGTGGGCGTGATTATAACCAATGGTCGCATCAGTTTCTAAATGTCAAAAGCTCAGCAATCACTTTTGACAACAACTCAGTGTCAACATTGAAACAAATTAACAAAACATAATTAAATCAACTTTAACAAAAGCTTTCGAAAACGGGCGTGTGTAAACTAACAAATCAGTTATAAGATGTTGAGTTACTCAGTTTCCACACGTCTCGAATACCACTTACTGAGAACAGAGATGGGAACACAGATTTTTGCGCAGAGTAATAACTACACATAATGGTAACGTCGAGTGGTGGTTTTGGTTTTCTTTGTAGTCTGGTGATATCTTCGTCAGTGTTTACGAATGTAGGTGAGTAATATAACACATTCACATCATGCAGATCAGTTCACAGGATTACATTTTATTAAAGTAGCTTGGCGACACCGTTGAGAGGTCTCCAGGAATGTGTCAATAACGCGAGGAACAGAACAGTTGACTATATTAAGTCAGCAGTAAGGCTGGAAATCTAATTGTAAAAGTATACTAGCCTGTAGCTATATTATTTAAGGTTTTTTTTTTTAAATATACATTTTTTTTCATCTTAATTAGTGGGACATTCGTAGCATGGTGCGTCAGCGCTTTTGTTTGTCTCCTTTTCCAAAATGTTTCTTTAATGTAGTGATAAATTTAATTCAATTTAGTGTCTTTTTTTGTGATCTAGTGGAGTGAATCTAATATAAATAAAATACTCTGGATTGATTTAGTTCTCAGGTATCTATAGTGTCGGCTTGGATATAAAAACTAACTGAACAAAATATTTGCATCACTGTTTTCGATCCATCGAAGATTATTTCGTAATTTGCATTTTTAGCATTACTAGTTTGACTCAACACAAAGAAAGTAATCTTAAAAAGAGTAAACAAGCTCAGATTATGTCCCATAAGTTGACTTTCTAATCAAATGTTTTGACACGTAATCAACTCTTACTTTCGCACAGGCAAATAACTCCAAAATATTGCCTAAACTGTCCTTTTTCCAAGAACATTTAGAAGCTTCATCAGGGGATGCGAGAGACATTCATGTTCTTGCTTCAATTTAATGAAATCAGTTGCATCCAAACACCAGAATCAATAAAGGATCACATTCCTCAGTTGCCAAAGGAAGTTAGAGAGACTCATTCAGAAAATATTTTGACTGGTTTGACACCGTACCTTCTTTAAGAGGACGGGCGTGCCATACTTTGTTTTTTTTTTTTTTTTTTTGATCCAGAGCGACAGTTTATTTTAGTTAAGTGGTCTTGGAGATATGTTGTGAATGGAATACCATCTTTTATTTATCGCAAACGGAACTAAGCGTTTTTACGATGAATGATTATGGTTGCTGTCACCAAAAAATCTTTCACTCAGTCAGTCAGTTAATCAGTCCAACAGTCAAAGGGTCAGTTTAACAGATAGAAACTCATTGAAGTCAGTCCTCCAATCATTCTTTCTTTCAACTATTTATCCACTAGTTCATCCATCCATTAATTTATTCATCCATCCATTTGGTCAGTAAGTTAAGTAGTCATTTGATTGATCAATCAGTCAGTGTCTCGATCAATGACAATCTTTTTTGTTCATCCAATTTATACACAGGCTCTTTAAACTGCAGACAACAGTCGTTGTTATGGCATAATTACTACAGAGGAATTCACCAGGTTAGTGCGGCTATTCAGAGGTAGGGTTTCTGTATTAGACATGATTTGAAGCTACTCTGGTTTATGTATTTAATGAATGTAACCGAAGAAGTTACAATTCATAGATCCAACGTTTCGACACTCCCGTCTAGTGCCTTCATCAGGGGTGATCTAAACGCTGCAACAAGCGGTCCTTTTATACGATCACTAATTAGCTGCCTTTTTTCTGATTATTTGCCAATTACCATCACTAATTAGTGATCGTATAAAAGGACCTCTTGTTCCAGCATTTAGATCACCCCTGATGAAGGCACTAGACAGGAGTGTCGAAGCGTTGGGTCTATGAATTGTAACTTCTTCGGTCACATTCATTAAATCTATAAACCAGAGTAATATCAAACCATGTCTGATTGTCCACCTGGTTGCCGTGTGAACTTTAATATGTTTCTGTATTAGTTGGCTACTCGCCTATTTCTGGAGTGGAGAAACAAATGTTCCGCTACTAATCTTTTACACGGCCCTAACATCAGTAGAAATTTTCTCTGTACTGTTCTCTTTACGTTTCCTCAAGGTGTTGGAAAAGAAAATTTGTTCAACAATCAAGAGTTTTTTCAATTGGCGATCATTTCCTTTATTCTTGGGACCTAAACCCTTTAACCCCTAAGAATGATTAGCAACTATTTTCTCCTATCAGTATCACCCCTAAAACAAGCATTGAGGTCATGAGAATAAAGGAAATGATCACCAACTAAGGAATCTCTTGATTGTTAAACAAATTCTCTCTGTCAGTACTATAGGAAATGCATAGAGAACAGTGTGGAGAGAATGTATACTAATGTTAGGGTGTAAAAGGGTTAATGCGTGATTGAGGGGTGATATTGTGAGGAGAAATTAGATGCTGGTCACTCTTGGGGGTTAAAGGGTTGGAGGCTAGGCTACCTCCACCTAATCTCAATCGTGGACTTTACTAACGCATTTCTGATTTTTTCCCGTTAGGTTCCTAATGTCTCGTGGTCATGGGGTTTAAGGAAAAAGGCTAAAGACTGGGCGGATTATTTAGCTGAAAAAAATTTATTCATTCACGAAAAAGAGGATCCAGGAAATCTTTACTTGTCTCCAGGAAAACCTGCCGAGCCCTGTGCCGCTGCGGTGAAAGCATTTTACACTGAGGAAAAATTGTACGATTACAGGAAACCGGAGCAGTTTAAGGGCGCTGGACACTTCACTCAGGTAAAATAAACCATTCGTGCAAGAGTTTTTTAGGCGGTTTCCCCTCAATTGTGGCTCTACGATACATATCTCATGGCAGGAAGTAATACAGTATTGTTTTTCTCCCCTTTCTTAGGTTGTTTGGAAAAATACAAAGTACATTGGCGCTTTCTACAAAACTAGACGTGATGGCAAAACGGTTGTGGTTGTAAAATATTCTCCCGGTGGTAACGTACGAGGTTACTTTGCTAAGAATGTCTTCCCTCCAAGAAAACCAGTAATTGCGACAAGCACTAAGCCATTCACTAGCGTGACAACAGACAATCCCACATCAGCTGGTAACACAACATATAGAAATCTCACCACACTGGAATCTAAACGAGGAGTTATAGCAGGTGCTACAAATCTCAGAAAATGGATAGGGATGCACTTCGCATTTGAGTGCTTTTTTGGGGGGTTTCTGATTTCCTTGGTAGATATCTAAGGGTGAATATGACAACGGATAATGATAGAAAGAAGGAGGTGTGTTGGGTCCTAGGGGTAATGGTATACTACGAAAATGATTACCTGAGCACTGAATTGTTAAATAAATCTTAAAATATTCCATTCCTGGTCCAAAGACGTAAAATTACAAACCTTAAATAGTGCAATAGTATACTTAACACGGTTGGTCAACACTGAAGATTAGTAGAGGAAGCATAATGATCAAGATAGCATAAAACAGAATTTTAAAAAAAAACTGTGCGAGTTTTTCAGCAAATATATATATATTTTCTAACGTAACTTTCACAGGTAAAAATCTTCGATATAACTTTTCAGTAGACACTAGTACATAATCCATTTGTTTGAGTCAGGTATCAAAATAAAAACAGTGATTTTTTTTTAACTTTAATTAAATTGTCGCTACATGGTCTGTGTTGTCAGCGAAGATATCATTCGGTTTGATTTGCTTTGTGGTATCGTTGTGGTTTTCCAGGATTTCGGCCATTGTCGATATCGTACACCGCCTCTATTCTTGCAACTGTACAATCTAATCGTTTTAAAATGTGTTCTTGTTCTTGAAAACGATCGATTCGGTTGCGCTCGTCGACTATCAATGCATTCGATCTGGTCAATTCCTCCAGGTTTGAAGTAAGCAAAGAAAGAGAGCGTCTTATCTCTGCATGAGAGCGCTTGAGCATGTCTAAATCATCCAAAACTGAATCGAACTCACTTCGTTCCAGTTTACCAAACTTCTTTCCTCCGAAGCGTTTACTCACAATGTTATGAATTTCAGATACTTTCTCATCCTGTCTCCGGCTCTGTTCTTCTTCTTCCGAGAAAAATGCAATATAATCATTTTCTTCGGGACTGTAGTTCTCTCTTATATATTCTCTGTAGCGCCTAAGCTTATTCTCTGAAGTATCTAACTCCAGATCTTGAAGAAGTCGAGCTCGCTGTATGGCAGCTGTCGCGCGTGCGTTGTCATAAACCCGTTGGAAAGTGTTGGACAAAAGTGCAATGTATAGATTCATCAGAACAATGGCGGATATAATTATAAAAGAGCCACAAAGAACGCGTGCCATATAGGGGGCAGCCTTCTCTAGCTGAGCGAAATTATAGTCATCTAACAAAGGCATGCGGAGCATGGTGAAAATTAAACTCGTTGTGTCGTTATATCCTTTGACGGGGGTTTGTGAATTCTGACCGTACATAATCCAGAAGGCGGCCCCATATGGAATATAAATCATCATTATCACGAGCAACCATTTGGCACTGTCCTTGACAATGTGGTCAAGCATCACAACAAACGGGCCCTGGTTGGGAAATGGACGGGCGTATTTGAGCAAACGAACCCACACGGGGATCACACTGCAAGACAAGATACGAATGAAGACATCATGGTAGAGATTGTTCTCGACAAAGACACTGCTCATGTGTAGAATGGTAACGACTACAAGCATGGCATAGGTAATAATGTCTACAAAATTCCAAGCGTCTGAGAAATAATTGTTCCCCTTATCCTGCTTGATTCTTTTAAGTTCTTGCTCTACAAAGTTTCTTTCCTGAGGCCACCTGGGATGACAGAATGCAAAGTCGCGCTCCACCTCCTTTCTTCTCCACTTCATCAATTTCTTAGATTGCTTCTTGGATCTGTAGTATTCCTTCCCTTCCTTTCTGATTTCATTAAGCGTTATGGCAAGAAAAACTATCGCGATCACTATCTTCCACCAATTCTTACTCAGAGGAGTGTAAAAGTTGTCCACATTTTGGGGTACTGAACACGCCAATATTGTGTATAGTATAGCCATCAACACGTTTGGTAGAATATCTAACCAAGCTTCGGCTCGAAAATATCTCCATTTTACATCGATGAGGCGTTGAAAGATGGGATGCATTATAAGTTCAAGACAGTTCGATTGCGAAACAGCTTGTAAGGGGGAGGGGGCGAAGGTATTGCACCCCTTGGGGGAGTGGCAACTTTCCAGGAAATTCAAATAAAAATGTTGCTTTCGATGAATTCTGTCGACTGAGTGGAACTGGTCTAGAGCTTTGTAAGCCTGTAAGTAATACGCAAGATAAATTTTTTTCAGTGGGAGTTTGCTTTGCACCCTGCCAACAATGTCCAGGGAAATCCTTGATTTTTTTTTTTTCGAATTCAATACAGAACGAATTTGAAGGACTCATCGTTTGATACGAGTTCTTGGGCGTCTGCAGCATGGATTGAGTTGCATGGATTAAATTGCTGAGAGCCATTTTGGTACTGTAGAATATCATTTAATAGTAAAGCACACAACTCACCACAACAGGCATCTGAGAAATAAGTAGCGAAAGGGCTGACAATCCACTATCGTCCTTGACGCCGGCCGAGGCTCCCTCATCCAGAAGCGTCCGCGTTGCCTCGGCACTATTGTATTCAGCAGCAACCTACAGACAAGACAACAATTTGGGTTTCTCTCGTAAATGAAGTAACAACTGATAACAATAAAAAAAATTAACGTTCGACAGCGGACCTGTTGATAGCACCAAGCAAGTTTCCCCAAAGTTCCCTCCATTTGCTAAAAACCGAATGGTCGTAAGAGAACTCAATTCTATGCAAAAAGCTCCAGAGAAACGCACTGTTGTCAAATTGATAGTAAAAAGTTTGAGGCATCACTGATGGAAAGCAACCAAAAATTGTCTCCTTGACTGCCCTATCTCTCAAACTGTGGTTATTTTATGAGGAACACCAGCCATGTATTTAAATGACTATAAGAGGCAAACAGATTTAGAGAATTAGTGGACGACTTGATGCGTCTTAGTAAAAGCTGAATTCATCCAACTTTTTTCCACAGACACAACACTTTCAACTTTTTTCACAGACGCATCTTGCTCATGCAGTTTCAGAAGTCTTGGTTACGCGACTAAAGTAATGTTAGTTATAGTGGGAAAAAAAGAAAGAAAACTACCAAAAAAAACACCATAATACACGAGAATAAGGCACCGGTCCATTAATTATCACCTGGGGGGAGCGGGGTTATTTCAGTCACAATAAAATTGACCTGAACCTGTAGTATTCTAATGATCCCCCTACTATAGTCCCCTCTTCGTACTCTGTTTATTGCAGCGATTGCACCCCTCCCCCTCCTACGTGTCCCCTTAAAAACCATGTGATCCGCCCAAAATAATCCAACCCTCTCCTCCCTCTTCAGGCCTAAACGTCCATTTTTGGAGTAACAAAATTTCGAGCCAATAAGCTCTAGATATAAGTATTCAACAAACCTGCAGGGGAGTACGGAGTTTGTAGTCTCTAGCATCGATATCAGCTCCACAAACGAGCAGAATCTTAACGCACTGATTAGCCTCATTCTTCGCGGCATAATGCAACGGAGTCTGGTCCTCACCTGCAGTCTTCATGTGAAGATCAGCACCATTATCGATAAGAAATCTGACCATTTCAGAATAATCAGCCGAGGCTGCCACGTGTAAAGGTGTTCTACCATAGTCATCGGCTTTGTTGATGTCAGCCCCTGTGAACGGACACTAATTTGTTACTGACTGAGAAAAGAACTATAAAAAAAACCAAGCAGTCTTTAGAGTATCAAAACAAGGAGCGTGTATCACAGCCCCAATGCGCATACATGAGCCGCTTGGAGGTGCAAGTGCGTGCCACTGACGCAGAGTAGAATGAAATTATATCAGATGAGACTCAATCAGTACGTTTGCGATGTTTCCCTTGCTGGAAAAGTACAGCTTTCTTTGTTCAAGTTTACCGAGTAGTTTTAACACAAAGGTAATATAAATGTACAGTTAGCATTTAGGTTACTTTCTCATTACCTGGTAAGAAAATTCCATTAAATAGTGAGAAAGAAAGAACAAAAGAAAACGCCGATGATTGAGAGAACCAGAAATGTTTTAGACTTTAAATTGTGTTCTTCATCCGGTATTACCGATAAGTTGGATTTACAAGCGCCACTCTAATCCTTATTGATCTTCGGTATGAGTGACCTTTTGACCCTGCTAGAAGAGCATTTTCGTGTACTTGTCCATTCTAGTGGTGATCAATATGGACAAATGTGAAGAGGTCAACACAAAATTTATACCCACACACAAACAGTATCTACCTTGCTCGATGAAAAACTGCGCCACGTCAATTCCCCAAGTCTTGGACACCTCGTGAAGTAAGGTCTGACCAAATCTGTCACACGTGTTCACGGATGCTCCTTCGCGTATCAAGGACTTAATGTACTCCAAGTCCAAGGAATCTTCTAAATTAGGAGAGCTCGATAGCTTAGCAACATATTTTAGCAAACCTTGGTTCGGGTCTTGTAAACTCGAACAGCGACTGCGAACGGAAACGCTCGACTGAGCAGTCACGGCATCATCTTCAACAACATGCAGCGTCGATCCTTCAATGGATTCAGTCTCCTGATCTTCTGTTTCCATATGTAAAATAGTGTAGGAACGCACGCTCTTCTTCCTACTTCTACGTTTTTCACGTTGAAGCATTCTCTCGTAGCTCGTCATATTTTCGTTCCTCCGTCTTGTCGTAGCGGGACTAAACGCGATTTCTGTGCAAGTGCGGACAACTGGAAGGCTTCCTGTGTCGACTTCAGATGAAGTGTCAACATGCCTCGTGATATCCGCACTACCATTCTTCAGCTCGAGAATTTCAGTATCATTTGTTTGTGGGAGTTGTGCTACAAGAGGAGCTATGGGAGGAAGTCGCCGGCTGCGCGAATTTTTCACTTCAACTTTCTCCCTGTCTTGTGTATTCCTTACTGTAGAATTCGATCGTGGAGATTCAAGAGCGAATGTATTGTCAAATGTTTTCTTTTCATTCGGCGCCTCCACTTGAGCGGGTGCTACTTTCTTTCTCTTCTTTCCCCGTTTCACATACTCTTTTGCCGTCTTATTCATATTGGTTACAATTGTATGGCTCCTTAAGCCAAAAAAGGCCCACAAAATCCAGTTATGTTTAACGATGTTTTGTGATGTTCGAACGGTCGTTAGCGGCTTAAACAATTCCCTCATCTCCCTGGGGGGAAGAAACTTTGTCGGATGCAAATGCCGATCATGCGAGCACGTTTCCATCAACAAGAGAGAAAAACAAGAGATAGCTTCACGAAAACAAGACAAAGGCATTTTTGACAAATTGAGCGTAGAGCACTGTCTTGAAAAATACCTAAGCTCCAGAGTAGGTCGTTTGTTTCAATAGCATTACGATGTTATCAAGCAAGATTTAGGTCACGATTAAAAATTCAAATTAACAATGCGAAAAAAACACAACAACAATTCAGCGGCTATAATATTACAATTGCCAAATTCTACTTTGATCAATAATCGACTTATAAATTATTTTTAATAATAGTAATATGAAGTACATTCGATTCATATCTACATCGATATAAAGTAAGAAAAATCTTGATGATGACCTTTTCAGCTCATGTCCTCCGCAAATGATCTTTTGTTTGTGTTCAGAAAGCACGGAAAACTTTACACATCATCGGTGGTGTGATTTGCGTTGGAAGAATTTGTATGTTTCTTACATGTATGTTTCTAAGAAAAAGGCTCTGAACAATAGAACTTGAAAATCTTTTGAAATAGCGATTTGGATTTATGCCGAGTGCAACTTTGCAATACACAAGTTGTGACAAAACTGACATGAAAATCGCATATAATTTTTAAATCACCCAATTACAAATGACAAGAGATCATAATTTTCACTTTTATAGTCTCTTGCGCTTGAAAAATACTATTATAATAATGATTTTAGATACGCTATAGAGAACATAAAGTAAGTGAAAGCGTAGTAATGACGCTACCGTCAAATAAGGTGTACAGATTTTCGCCTTCCATCTCTTCCTGCATGCGGAGAGGTCCAATGTCAGAGTGTCATTGATCAGAATCTGTCTGTGAGGCTTTTGCTAGCTTGCATGAGATGGTTCATGGCAGCTTAAAATTCGACTGTTACAGCCCGAATTAGTGTTTGTGTATACAATGTCGGCGGGCCGTGCGAAATTTCCAGTGAAAAGTCGCAATTGTATTGTTCGTTATCGTGGTCTCCCTCTGTTCTTAGAAGACGGGCCTTTAGGAAAAAACGATTTTTTCGTTATTAATCCCAGCCATAGATATGAATTTTCATCTTTTTTTAAAACATGTTTAATGATCGCATAAACAGTTTCTTTTTCTGTCTGGTTGATGTGAATACTCTCTTTCTGAAGAACTGTAGGGGAAATTTCCCGGATACAATGACAGAATCGAAGCAATCACAAGAAAAACAAAAACCGCAATACTTTTTTACATAAGCATGGTACAATAGTTAGGACTACAGTGAGTACTATACTGCGTATCAAAAACAGGACGTGAAACTGCTCCTCACAAAAGAGTATTAGGACCCCCATTTTCGATTCGGAATTTAGGACGCAGAAAGATAGACCAAAGTTTGATCTCGACTGATATCAAGGCAGGTTCAATATCAGAGTAAAGTTTTACTGCATGCATCTCGGTTGGGGGAGAGTACACTTGATTTTCGCCGTTTTCTCGGGTAAATATTTGAATTCTGTATGATGTACAGACCGCTATTTTTCTTTACTAGCGATTGATAGGGTTCTTTGTACCTTAATGGTATTTAATTTCACGGGTACTTAATTTCGGTTTTATTTTCGCGATTTCAATAGGCAAGTATGAAAAAAGGGACCTTAAATTTCGTCATTCAAGCTTTCTCGACTCCATTTCATTTTTCCAAATGTTTTAACATTTGGCGACTGCGCGAAAGTTGCATGTTTTAAGGAATTTGTACAAATCTAGCGATTCAGTTGAAGATGATAACTAGATTCTCTACTCCATCTGCAAAATCTTTGCAAATTAGCGTCATTTTACAACAGAACATGCAAAACAGAACTTACCAGTAAGACCGGTTTGTACTTTGTGAATTTGTCGATAAACAACCTGTAAATGTTGTTGTCATGACAAGTTGATCATGTTTTTGTGTGCTTTAAATTTTCTATAGCGGACCAAATTTCTCGGCAAGGGTTTTTATTCATATGTCTTCAATTTCGCAATGTTTTTTTTCTATCGAAAAAACACGAAATTAAAGACCAATTAGGTAGAAGAAGAGTGAAATTAAATTTTGTACGGGTAAACTAAGAAATTACGCTGAGTTAGATATTGCCATTCCAAACCAGGTTTTTTTAAGTACTTAATTAATTCCATAAAAGACGCAGCTTAGAGTTCATTTCCGTTCATAATTAAGCTTACAACCTTTCATGCATATTTCCGAAAATGAAAAACCCGCTTCCGAAATACGGTAGAACGTTACAATGATTCCTTACCGTTGACTTATTCGGTCTGATCTTCTAACATTCAGTTTTAGGGAAAAAAAAACCATAACCTACATATCTTTTTTATTTACGCACAATTGTTGATATCTTCGCCAGAAGCGGATGTTATTTGTGCTTCCTTTTAATTAAACTACTAAGCTCATTGGTTTCATGGCACATTCGCGAATACAACGAAAACTGATGAAAGATCATAACAAGGTTTGTCAAAATTAAATGGACATCGGGCTGAGTGATTGTTTTTTCATCTAATATTGTCGCCTACGTTTATTTCCCAATGACTTTTTTAGAAAGGTTATCACATGTAAAAGCTAAAATGCAAATTATACTGTTAGTATACACAATGGTTCATGTGTAATATCTTGGATGCAATTTGTAGTCATTGTCAAGTTGTGAGTTTAGGAAAATATTGAGTGAGTAAGAAAGGAAGAACACTAAAACTCTAAAAGACTTTCGGAATTACTTAAAGGATTTTTCTATGAATTGGTATAATTAAGTTTAATAAAGGTGTGATATCACTGACACCAACGGTTATGCGGAAAGTAAACATGACGCCTGTTGCGGCATCGGATAACACGTACTCAGCCATACGGCAGGAGTAATTATGTTATTACTAACGTCATAGCCTGTGATGTGCGATATTTTCTACGACTCATTTAACCCATAGCGGTGCTAATTTAACCCATAACGAATATCACTTTGCCAAGAGCTGGGTCAGAATGAAACTGAAAGGTCGTCATGAAGACTTTTGGATCCAAGTGATATTCAAAGTGTCCTGGTAGACGTCGAGAAATATCAAACCACCAGGAACTGTTATTTCTTTAATCATTTCTTTGGTCGTTGCGTGTTGAGGAAAATGCCAGGGAATTTCTCTGCTCATACAAGCCTCTACAGTTCAACATCATCTTTCAATGTGACGTTGGTTATACTTTATGCGACGATAGTGCTTGTAGGCTTGGCAGGGAACAGTTTTGTCGTCACCATTGTGTTCAAAACAAGATCTATGTTCACTTCGACAAATATTTTGCTGGCAAATGTTGCCGTTGCCGATATCGTGTCTCTGTTATGGTGTCCGATTCCTTTGATAGCGGGCCTTTGCAATGTGCGAATATCTTCAGAAAAAGCACACTATCTGTGTAAATTTTTTACAAGCTACTCAGTTACCTGTTTGACTGTTTCAGTCACATATCAGAGTTTAGTGGTGTTGGCTGTGGAGAGGTACCATGCGATTGTCAAACCATTCAACACTGCACTGATGCTGACTAATGATCGTATGTTCTATGCTATTTTAGCTATCTGGATCATGGCGATCCTTTGCTCCCTGCCTGGATTTATTTTCAGCGAATACGATGAAAAGCTTGGAAGGTGCCTGGATCCTTGGACTCTTGAGAAAGCTGGTACGTTCAGGTGGATTGCTATCTTATATCTCTCTGCATCTGTTTTGTTCTCTGGCGCTTTGTTTTACTGCTACCTTCAAATTCTAAGGGGAATCTTCGTGAATAAAACTGTTTGTTCATCAGAGGTTGCCTCAATGAGGCAATCTAACTTGAAAGAGAAGCGAAGGCTTGCTCTAATTTCCTTGACTGTAACTGTGGCATACCACTTGTGTTATCTGCCTTTCTTGATGTTTGAGCTGTACATAGCCTTTCAAAGTCAGCAGAGAATATTGGAGAACTACGAAGAACTCTATAAAGTGTATCGAGTTGTTGGGTTTATCATGTACGTGAACTCAATGCTAAATCCATTTATTTATGGCTTTCAGAGTTCGAATTACAGAAATAATTTCAAAAGACTTTTTTTCAGAGGATCTACAACGATAGATATCAGTTTGGCTTCGCCGAATTCCAGGAAAAACCCACCTTCGACGGTGTTTTCAGCAGAAACGTGATTCATTCTTCGATTCTTCGATTTCATCTTTCCTGAACGCATACGGCAGAAGGCTTTTGCAGCACCCTTGTTATCTTGTCGCAATACTCTTGCAATCATGTCATATGTGGCCTCGAAACTGATCTGAGCGATTCAACGGAAAATAAAAGCGCGAACGAGCTGCCTGTTAGATCTATAAAAGATGTATTCGCTTAGCAGAACTTCGGCTTCATTGGTGATGCTACCGGCTGGTGAGTTAAAAAGGAATTATCATAATAGAAAGCAGCAACAGCAGCTAGGTGGTTGAACATTTTCTCAGTATTAAACTAAACCAAATAGTGAAAAAGATAAAATTGAAACATGTAATCCTTCAAATTACTTATAAAAATTCGAAAGTGTTGGAATAGGGTTGTTAAAGGCATTAACGCATCAAACACGTTAGCTACAGACCATTCACGTATGCGCAGCTGCCTGATTAACCAATGACAATTCAAAATTTCAGTCGTTCAAAGCTTTCGAAATTTCAATATTGCGCAGAAAGGGAGCCTTTGGGCTCATGACGGTTTCGCAAATTCAAAAATAGTTTCCTTTTAATAAATTGAATTCGTGAGAAGATCGTGCACTGTATATAGGCTCCATCTGAAAAATATAGTTAATAAAAGTGAGAGCCAGTTATGTCAAAAGCTTTTTCTGTTTTCAATGTGTGTTTACTTATTGAAGGACCACAGGAGAAATCTAATGTTTACGAAGGCATATATTGGTGTCGATTAATGCCTCTGAGCCGTGTTTTATTCTCCATCTGGCCAATGAGGGCCTTGGTAATTTTGGCGCAGATATATTTTTTGCGTACAACATAATAACTGCCTCAAAACATGCTTATGAACTAAGAAAATATATATTTTTTCTCGACGCATGTACACTTCCGGCTTTATCTGCCGTGAGCCCCTTGATCGACCTGTCTTAGCTCACTAAAGTTTTATCCTTGAAAAGGGAAAAAAAGTACATAATAACAAATAACACTGTGAAGCAATTGCTAAACGTAATTGAAAACGTAGTAGTGTAATAACACCGCTATTTTTGGCCCTAATAAACAACTGTAGTAGTATGATATTACTCAGGGGTTAAGTATTCGCCAGCTGAAATAAAAATATGCTAATTTTGGCCATTTGTATTCAACGGTATCCGAACGTGCAAATAAGGCACAGATTTCATCCTGTAAATATTTATCATCATTAGCATCATATAATTAAACGACATCCCACTTTCTGATAGGAAACAGTAAGTGATTATATTTTTACCTCTCCCCCTCTCAATAATTTCTAGGAAAACAAAAGTGCTAATAGTGAATTCAATATCTGGGCAACTATGTGGGCAGCGCACGTGCATTGAACTTTATACATGCTTTAATTTTTCACTTTCTCCAGTTAATTTTATTCATTTGCTCTATCATCAACTATGTTCCCCCGTTTCAAGTTTCCTTTGGATTCACTTGTGTCTAAAAAGAGAAGAGGAATAAGGAGTCAGTAGAAAGCTTGGAAACACCCATACAGGGTTCCCCCCTCCCTCCCACCCTCACTCATAAATACCTGTCTGTTTTTAGTAAATAAAATAGGTCAAGGTTGACAGGAATTCTATCATCACATATTAGCAAAAAAATTCAATATCAAAGAGTATCTTGTCTTTCTATAACTCTACTTTAGTGGACTGCCATTGTCGACAAGTGGACCCTATCAAAAACAGAATGAATAAAAAATTCCCAAAAGAAATTTAAATACAGGATTGGCTTTCCTCCCTCGAAAAAAGGGCCGTAATTTTTTTGTCTAGTTTTTTTTTTTAAATCTACAATCAGCGACAAAATTGTTGACACATTGATCTTTTCAGCTCCCTATTACTTCAATTTGTCTTACTTAGTCGTCCACTCCCCCCCCCAAAAAAAAATGTTGTGTCGTGATTCCATGAACTTTTAGCAACATTCAGGCAACATTAAATGGGGGAGGGGGGGAGGGTCTTGTTATTGAGTTTAGTATGTTGTAGAAACAGGAGTGTTATTTTATTCATTAATAATATACATGGAAAAATTACTCAGTTCTGATTGGTTAAGATAAATGCAGTTTTCAGGTAATTTAGTGCAGAAGAGAGTTAATTCAGTGCAGAAGAGGGTTAATTCAGTGCAAAGAAAGTAACAAATCAGACATTCTGATTGGTCAATAATCGAAGAAACTCACAGACAGCCAATCAAATGCGAGCCTTGGATGTCGCAACGAAATTTGAAAACTTGCGAACGAAACAATGGCCGGCGTTTTAAGTAGGTTTTCTTTCGCCACCGCAGCTGAAAAACAGCTCAAACAACGAAAACACTGTAAAAAGCACTGCTTTTTGGTTGTCGGTTTGAAAAAAGAGGTGTTTAGAGAAGGGAATTCCCAAGGAAATCGAAAATTTCTAGTCGATCCAGCTTAACACTTTGCTCGAGCGATCCAACGCCGAAATTAAAAACAAACATGATTAAACCTCGGAAACGACGATTCCATTTCATCGAAAATGATTCGGACACAGACTGAACAATTCCTTGAACTGTTTAGCCGGACTTTAAACTTTTTCGCGCCTTAAAGATGTGAAGATATCATTGCATATTATTGTTTTGATCGTACGTGGTTGTTTTGACCGAACGCACGGTTTGAATAAATTATTTTTTGCACTTGATGCGCGCGCTTTGCTTATGCTTAATTATAATAAGCCATCTCGTATTTTTCCATGTATATTATTAACACGTAATCACATGATTTTTCTCGTGCAATTTGGAATAACAATCACTTGTTAATTTTTTCAAAGACCACAAATTGCACTCGCCCTAAAAAAAATTTACTCGTGCTTATTTATCCCAAATTACACTCGAAATCATGTGATTACTTATACAAATAGGACTCTTCTAAACATGATGTGTCAACTAATTTTGACGGTAATTATGGGTAGATTTATATTGAAATCGCTAAAAAACTAACCAGGTCGGAGAGGGCCAAGGCCGGGAGGTGGATATAGAGGTGCCTCTGTGAAAAGGCAAAGAATCAAAATTGAGCCACGTTTGCTACGTTGATGAAACGAGACAATCTAATTGGGTCCTAGTGTTTTCCAATCCTCCTTTACATTGAGGAAACGAGATAACCTAATTGGGTCCTAGTGTTTTCAAATCTTCCGCTACAATCTAATTCTAGCGTTTTCCAATCTTTTTTCATGCTACTCGGATGAAGCTATAGCTACTACCTTGCAACCGCGTTGCTAGCCTTTATACTTTGATAGAAATAACAACGAACTCAGACCTCCTATTCAGACCTCCTCGAGAACTTATGAGACAGCCCGTCTTAGTTTTTATTGTATCAAGCGTATTTTCGAAACGATAGCCGATTACTTGAAATCGCTTAAAACTAACCAGGTCGGCCGGGGACGGCCAAAGCCAGGAGGTGGATATAAAGGTGCCGTTGTGAAAAGACAAGGAATCAAAATTGAGCTACGTCCGTGACATTGAGGAAACGAGACCATATAAATGGGTCCAAGTGTTTTGTAATCTTCTTTCAGAGACATGCTACTCAGATGACGCTATTACCTTGCAATAGCGTTGCTAGCCTTTATACCTGGATAGAAGGAACAACGAACTCACAACTGTTTTTCACTGCAATGAAACGTAGCATAGTGAAGGAAAGTCTTCATTCACTATGGTTGAGTTGTGGACGTTTTCGTTGTCCTGGAGGGGGACATTCTACAAATCGAGGTGAGTTACTTAAGCTGATAACTGACCTGGTTCAGGTCCGGGGGGCTTGTTTTCTGGCTTTTTATCTCCATCTTTGGTTCCTATATAAAGATAGTGAAAGGCGAAGTTAGCACTGCCCCTATGCGAGACTTTAATGGAACACAAATTAAGTGGGCAAAGGCAAACTAAAACCGTAAGAACTCTTGTAATTACTTAATTCTAACGATGACATCTGCATGGGACGTAATATAAGTTTCTAATGGGAAAGGGAATGGTACTCTCTATGCACCGGCATCAGAGAATACCTATGGTGTATTGTGAATCTACGCAGACATAGGCTCACCTAAAAGTATATATGTGAGTCGCAGGGATTTCGAGTTCTTGTATCCTTTAATGCGGCGAAGGCACATTTAGCACTCTCATGCAAAATACATCACTTATAAACCTTAAATCTTCACACCTCCGCGATACAGCGACAGAAAATATGTAGAACTGACGAACTTACAAGGGAAGAGTCATAAAAAACGGACCAGAACTTGAAATTTCATGACCATACTCGGAAACCCCAAATCACGTGACCGACAAAACAAAGAAAACAACTTTCCATACTAATTATTGGCAGAAAAAGGCACAGCATTTATGTTGTTAATAATAGTCATAGTTACAGTCTTATTTTAAAGAAAAAAAGATCTTTTCCTGTTAGCTACGCGCCCGGGTTGATTTACATGACATAGTCACGTGAACTTACCGCCACAGCCATACATAAGCCGAGCTTGCGTTATGTCACCTTTACTAGGGCTTTTACGCTGACCAATTTCTGCTGTAGGATCCTTAGCCTTTATCGTTATAAGTCCAGGACGATTATTCCCTGAGTACTTGGAATAGTGCATGATGGATCCGTAGTCATATGGCTGACCTCGACTGTCTATCATACTATCTTTAACTTCTTCAAAGTTTCTGTCTGACCCTAAAGGGAACCAGCAAAAAGGGCCACGTCTTTGTATTGAGTGACACAACTCCTCTCTGGGATGTGCTCCAGTTTAAACTAAATTAATCATGGCCCAAAGAAATGGATGGAACTCTTCACCGTACCTCGACCTTTTGTAGCATAGATATAACTGGTTGAGTCAACATCCACCACAAAAACAAAAAAAACAACAAAACAACAACAAAAAAAGTAGAAAAAGAAACCTTTGTTTTAAGCTCAGCACAACGCGCTGTGTGCCAAGTCATCCCCCCTAGTCTATTTGGGGTCATGTACGTATCACAGTTTTTTGCATCAAGGGAAAAAAAATAAAACTGAGACGTACGGTTATCTTGGCGACTTGTACAATGAAATTAATCGGTTTAGTTAATGACAAAATTTTTACCACGCACTGTTTTACTGCGAAGGCAAATGGGTTGTATTATCCTCTACGTGGGTACAGTTTAGGATCACCAATCCTTAACAAAATGGAATCTATTTCATAATGATAAGCGCATTTCTCCATATATGGTCATAATAGTATAATCAAACTCGTTCATACTGACCACTGACGATGTTCTGCCAGTTGATTTTGACGTAATAATCCCTGTCAGGTCGATTCTGTTCATGGAAAAATCCGATGGCGTGTCCTAATTCGTGAGTGATTGCTCCTTGTACACAAGGAGGATCCCTTTGACAAGTTGAAATGTATATCCACGTTTAAGTGTTTTTTTAACTTATCAGTTAGGGCTACAGCTGTTAATTCACAGAATTTCGCTGCTCAGTAAATTAAGAGTTATCAAATTCAAATTGCAGGGCAATTTGCAAAATTTGTTTCAAATAACAATTAAGAACAAGTCTCTGTAAGAATCAAACATCTCGGGAAATGAAAATTTTCAATCCCCCTTTAAATTTTGCATGCAGTTAGGCAGGGGGGATGCACAAAAATGTCCTTTTTAAAGGTCGCAGAACTCTTGTTACCATGGTAGCAACAGCTGCTTGTTCGAGGCCTGGGGCCTCATTTTCATACAAAAACGTCGCAAAAAAAGAGTGAAATATTTATTTTTCTATCTCAAGCTAAATACAACATTACAAATTGGCACTTCTACCATACATATTAACATCAATCATCTTCATATTGATTCATTCAATTTTCCCTGGGAGTGAATTTGAACACACCAATAGATTGTTCATCTCGGTACAGTTTCGGTCATTTTTGTTGTCGGGTAAAACAGGGAAAACATTTATCTGAATTTCTCCAAAAGTACACCGATTCTGGAACTGAAACTGCCCAGAAAACGTAAATTAGCCACCGTAAAGGGTAAAAAAGCTGACGTTTCGAGCGTTAGCCCTTGGTCAGAGCAATTGGAGGAATTGTGGGTTGTGTGTGGATATCCGGTGTGAGGACAGTTTCGTGTAGATCCGCCGACTTCAACATGTTTCAAATGACTTACAAGTATAACAGTGTATCTTCAGAGGATTTCGGATTGCTCCAATTCTCATGAAAGAAGGAGCAGCACTCGGAATCTGAATGATATGCACGCGATTTGAGGTTTATGTTTGTAGTTACGTCGAGTTGTCCTCCTTGAAGTTTGATCAATTTTTTTTTAAAAGATGACAACCAGAGGTGAGATTTCTCTTCGGGATATTGCTCATAAGATAACATTCTTTCAAGGCCTCGCACGTTTCATTTATTTGAAGCGTTGTTGTTGAGAACATTAGATGTAAACATCGCCAAATTATGCAATATCTGATTTTGAGCTTTTTTCGCGAATTGCCCCTATAAAAAGTAGAGGCAGGCCCGCAGAGATTTTTACATATTTATAAACTAGAATATTATAACCAGATAGGTGGGTAGTTTCAGTTCCAGAATAGGTGTACTTTTGGAGAAATTCAGATAAACGTTTTCCCTGTTTTACCCGACAGCCCCCGAACAAGCAGCCGTTGTTACCATGGCAACAAGAGTGCTGTGACCTTTAAAAAGGGCATTTTTGTGCATCCCGCCTGAGTGCCTACCTGCATGTAAAATTTGAAGGGGGGTTGAAAATTTTCATTTCCCAAGATGTTTGATTCTTAAGTATGATTTATGAGCATAACAAATGACTCTTTCCCACAAAATAAGTTAAACGTTATAAACTGGTTTGCAATGGAGATACTGTACGAGGAACCAGAAACCCGGAAATATTTGATAACAGGAGATTGAGATAATAATCAACGAATGTAGAGATGCAAAGCAGCCACTGCAGTTTGAGAGGCTGCGTCTTTCGTCCGAAAGTGTTCATTTGGGCGTGAGTAATTCTGGTATGTGTCTGATACGCGGATGAAAAATGCGTATTTCAATCAGACTAGACTGGCACAGGGAAGAGTAAACTTATCATAATCTCCATTCAATTAGGCTAGTTAAGAGGGATTTATGTAAATCGCAAACAGTAGTTTCATAGTGGAGATGCAGCTTAAGCGCGCCTTTTTATGACTCACTCCGTGAACCGTCCAATAGAGACTTCTTGACGTCCACCAATACGACCAACATACGACCAGCAGCTGTTTAAAGTAGAGATAACACCGGGTAATTACAATTTAAAGTTTAACAATAAAACGATACGTACTTTTACTTTAAGAAGTAAATATCTATATTTTGGAAAATTTTTCAAACCGACAAAGTAGCGGTTCTGTCTGGAGCTACTTTCGTAATGTTAATTTGACCTTTTACTTACCCCTCCTTGTAAACAAACTCGATGTATCCTTTCTCTTGCTCTCTCTGTTTAAATCGAATACAGGGAACATGATCCATCCAATCTTTCATCGAGTTTCTAATCAGTTGCCTTCCTCTAGCGTCTAATCATAAGAATGAGAAACGTTTACAAGGGCAAATATCGGAATGATTCATATGTTGAAAGAATTAAAGGCAACGCATAGGACCTTTATTGATTTATACCGCTCAGGGTAGCCCCTTCAGATGCAAAAAGCTGTATTTTATCAATGGGAGCCCTGAAATAGTGGTGGATCAGACCGGAGGATCGAAAGGTTTCGGTTAAGATTTAGCGCCAATGCAACCATGAATCCATTTAAGGATACTTATAAAGCTCTAGACTAGCGACTGATGAGAGAAAAATAATTGGTCAGGTACCAATCTGTGAACTTATTTCAAATGGGATGATTCCGTCTGGCCAGAGTTGACGCACGTTCTCTATGGCGCCTCTCGTTTGAGCCTCTTGATTCAAGTCCGCTGCTTTGTTGAAGGTTAGCCGTGACGGCTTAAGAATTTTGACCTGTTGTTTAGTTAGTGCCATGTCTCCCTCGTACAGTTCGGGTACATCGTCCCTGTAATCGGGTACTGAGAGATAAACAACAAAGAGATGCTGGAAATTTTCAGTTCATAAAAGACACCTAAACTGATTTCCATGAAATTTTAGCTGATTGACTGCAGCTCCCTCTAGTTTGCAACTTGTATTTAAACATCGAACAGAAAAAACAGACAAACAAACAAACAAACAAAATACTCCTCTACGGCCTGTGAGTGATAAAGAGAAACTCACTGCGCAACTGAAAATTGGGAATATATTAGGAAGAAAAAAATTGTTCTACTTCATTAAAGTTGGAGAAAAGGATAAATCTTTGGGTGACTTCTCATTTATTCGGCCATTTGACGTTTTGAATTGCAACAAGCAATCGGTGCTTTGGTCGAGTAACATGGGATGTCGATTTATTGTTAGGCTTTGATTTAATTCCAACTTAAATCATTCTCTGTTATCCCTGAGGAAGATCTATTTATGAAATCATCGAGCAGTGATTGTGCTGTGTTTTATGGAGGCAAAAGCTAAAATAGAATCCATGTCAAGTTCTTTTTACCTCACCAGCCACCTGTTGTTTTAACTAATAGGAAAGTCTTTCTTCCATCCTTGAGTGACAGTTTTATTCAACAATACCGTGCGTTTGGCTAAAATTATTTTTAGTTCAAAGGGTTACCTTATGGACTTAAAATAACAATTTTATCATAAAATGTGGCGTTCACTTTCATGATTTTCTGTCACGTACTGAGTCAGTGGAAACTGTCGCCTACCAAGCACCCCTAAAAACTTGTGTGTGTTATTTTGTTTACAATATATAGACATTATTAGTATCATTTCTAATTGATTCATTTGATAATACAATCAAAACAAAAGGAGCAAAAGGGGAAAATAAAACAAACCTTTCGGCCGAGCGTGTGCAAGAAATATCCCTAACGATAGCAACAGCCATTGCTTCTCAAGTAAAGCCATCTTGCCTTATATTCGTGCCTCTAAATGTAACACCGTAACCTTCTCAGCCGACTTCTAATTGAAAAGGTCAAGATATCTGACTTAGGAAATAAGTATCTAAGTGCTTTATTGCTGGTATTGGTTTAGACGTTAAGAACTCGTATTAAAGATAATTGTAGCTTAGAGACATATTCAGTTCTGACCACCTGGTCTTAACCTAGAACCGTTCGAACCCAATCGTTTTCGGTTTAGAGATATAATTCGACGACAAGTCGTGTTGTTTCTGGTCTTCCTTGCTATACTAGCAATCACAAAACTATTAGAACTAATTAATAAGCGAATTAATGTTTATTTCAGTCAAAGGGGCCGAGAATCGAGAGCTTTCAAATAAGTCTTCACATCTCATATCTTAATACATCTTCGCATTTGTGTCCATATCATTGTCCCACTTCATCATTTTTTTCCTGAAGTATCTCGTAGATCTCTTACTCCTGGTGTGTTTTACTACGAATATGTGGCCAGCCGTAAGAAAGCCTTTGGTTTCTAGCTTTTAAACTCCTTAGGCTACTCGGTCGATGAAAGGCTTTTATCTATTACAAACGATTGAATATGATGAGAAAATGCTTACATTTTCACCCCTGCCCTCCTCTCTGATTTCTGAGGAAACAGAAGTGCTAATAGTGAATTAAATATCTGGGCTATTATGTGAGCAGCGAACGTGCATAGAATTCTATACATGGTTAAGGTTAATATATTAAGTGCATTATTCTTCTTTATAATTCAAGGATGCAGCGTGACGCAAGAGATATCCCGTTTGTACTTTCCCCAATCAATTTTATTCATTTATGCATCATCATCATTATCAAGTACGTTCCACCGTTTCATGTTTCCTTTGAATTCACTTGGGTCTAAAAAAGGAGAGGAATAAGGAGTTAGTAAAAAATGATGTAAGATTGGCTTTCCTCCCTCCAAAAAAATTCGTTATTGTTTTTTTTTTAGCTTTTTTTAACCTGCAATCAGCGACAAAATTGTTGACACATTGATTTTTTCAACCCCTTTTACTTCAATTTATCTTTTGCCCTTGTTACGTTAACCTATTCGCCCCCTCCCCCCCAAAAAATGTTGTGTCTCCATGAACTTTTGGCTACATACAGGCAATATTAAATGAGGGAGGGGGGGTCTTGTCAATGATTTAGTATGTGGTAGAAACAGGAGTGTTACTCTGCACATAAATACCACTCTTCAAACATGATGTGCCAACTGATTTTGACGCTGATTATCGGTAGATCTATATCTAAATTAAAGAAGTGATTTATGTATTCTAAAGTATGTCGACGATTTCCATAAATGCTTCTACGTAAAAGAAGAGTTACTACCAAATAGTTTTGTTCAGGGATGAACCACAGCCCAGCCTAACCCTCGGCGCTATCAACCAATCATATGACAGGATCATAAATACGAATACCTCGGCGGAAGCCTTAACGGGCAGCTCAATTATTCATTCACTGCCATAACCTTTAAGACTGACCTGTGTTGTGCTTGTTGTTTTGTCATCATTGGGATTCCTGCAGACTTCAAGCAGAAAAAAAAGGTTTAACCATTTACCATCCAAGATCCAGTTAATAATTCTCCCGTATCACTCTCTTAAATTTCATCGAAAATTGGACAAGGTAGTTTGGTGTTATAACATAACATAACACCCTTGAGCTAGTAAGCTTGTCTTTCCTCATAACCTGATTGCAAGAAGACATATCTGTGTCACAAGGAGAAGTCTCAGGTCCTCTGGGGTTAAGAGGATAAGACAAATAGAATGTAAGAATCCCGGCCCGAAGTCAAATCTAGGGAGGAAATTATTATGTTAAACAAATCATTTTATCTTCACTTACTCTGGATTATTTTTAGCAGTTTTCCAAACTTTACTACTTTTCTGATACAATTACTGTTTGGTGGACCACCTGCAAAATGCCATAAAAAGAGTAAGATTATTATTCCCGTGACGTCGTTTGCTCTTATTTACTTTTCTCTTAGATTGTCGAGGTTTTCTTTTGTCTGTGGTTCGGTCAAATGATATCTCTAGTTGTTTATTGGTAGTTACCCTATTCACCATTTAAGAGTCCCAAGTCTTCTGGACCAATTAGAAAGCCAAAAAGACATGCAAAACCAATGCAATACAGGTTTACCTCCGACGGTCAATTAGAAATTTCACTAACTGCAACTGCGATACCTAATACTCAGCGCCTTTTGAGACCTCCTCGAAACCTTATTAGACATCCCGTCTTAGTTTTTATCGTATCAAGCTTATGTCCGAAATGATAGCCAATTACTTGAAAACGCTAAAAACTTACCAGGTCGGGGACGGCCAGGTCCAGGAGGTGGAGGTGGACGTGGAGGTGCTGCTGTAAAAAGACAAGGAATCAAAAAGTGTTTTTAGAGACATGCTACTCAGATGAAGCTATTACCTTGCGATAGCGTTGCTAGCCTTTATACCTGGATAGAAAGAACAACGAACGCACAACTGTTTTTCATTGAAATGAAACGTAGCATGGTGAAGGAAACTCTTCATCCGCTATGGTTGAGTTGTTGCCGGTTTTTATTGTCCTGGAGGGGGAAACTCTACAAACGAGGTGGGTTACTTAAGCTTATGACTGACCTGGCTCAGGCCAGGGGGGCTTGCTTTCTGGCTTTTTACCTCCAGCTTTGGTTCCTATATAAACATAGTGAGAGGTGAAGTTAGCACTGTTCCTATGCGAGACTTAGATGCACACAATTCCAGTTCTTGTGCCCTTAGATGCGACAAAGGCACATTTAGCACTCTCAAGCGAAATACATTAATTATAAACCTTAAATCTTCACATCGCGATACAGCGACAGAAAATATGTAGAACTGATGGACTTGCAAGGGAAGAATCATAAAAACGGACCAGACTTCAAATTTCGTGCCCCTACTAAGAAATCCCAAATCACGTGACTAACCAAACAAAGAAAATAACTTTCCGTACTAATTCGTGGCAGAACAAAACACAACATTTATATCGTTAACAATAGTCACAGGTACAGTCTTATTTTAAAGGAAAAGGATCTTTTCCCGGTAGTTACGCGCTCGGGTTGATTCATATGACATAGTCACGTGAACTTACCACCACAGCCATACATAAGCCGAGCTTGCTTTATGTCACTTTTACTGGGGCCTTTAAGCTGACCAATTTCGGCATTAGGATCCTTAGCGTCTATCGTCATAACACCAGGACGAATATTCCCTGCGTACTTGGAATAGTGCATGATGGATCCATAGTCATATGGCTCTCCTCGACTGTCTACCGAATTAGGTTTAGCCTTTTTAAAGTTATCTTCTGCCCCTGAAGGGTGTAACAAAATACTGTTAGAAGTATGCAAGCATAAATTTCCGGGATAGATAAACAGCGGCGAACATAGGCGCGTGCAATTGACTCTATCACAATAAGCGCACTACTAATGATTTTATAACAATATGCCCATTCGGGGTATAGTCAGTGATTTCGCGGTGTTTGAACATGTAACCGCCCGGTTTATATTGAAATATTAAAATAGGCTTTTTTTAACCTAAATTTATTGTTAAAAAGGGAACCAGGAACTATGTATTGAGTGACACAACTCCAGTTTAGACTAAATTAATCATGGCAAAGAAATGGATGGAACTTTTCACCGCACCTCGATCCAATACTTTTTTGTAGCATAAATGTAACTGTTGGATCAAAGTCCACCACATAAGAAAAAATATATAAAAAGGAACCTTCGTTTCAAGCTCAATACAGTGCCCTGTATGCCAGGTCATTCACCCTAGTCTCTTGGTGGCCATGTACGTTTCACAGTTTTTGTATCAAGAGAAAAAAAAGTGAAACTGAGGCGAAAAGTTATATTGGCGACTTGTAACATGAAATTAATCAGTTTAGCCAATAACAAATATCTTTACCAAGTACTGTTTTTAATGTAGGGCAAATGGTTTGTATTATACCCTACGTGGGTACAGTTTAGGATCACAAATCCTTAACAAAATGGAATCTATTTCGTAATGATGAGCGCATTTCTCCACATATAATCTTAACAGTATAATAAAACTTGTTCCTACTGACCATTCCTGATGTTCTGCCAATTGATTGTGACGTATTTATCCCTGTCAGGTCGATTCTGTTCGTGGAAAAATCCGATGGCGTGTCCTAACTCGTGAGTGATTGCTCCTTGTACACAGGGGGGATCCCTTCGACAAGTTGAAATTAATATATATCCTTTTTCTTAATGCGTTTTTCTGCTCTTCAAAGTTATCAGTTAAGGCTACATGAGCCGTTAATTCACAGTATTTCGCTGCTCAGTAAATTTAGACTTATTAACTTCAAATTGCAGAGAAATCATTGCTAAATTTATTTGCAAAATTTGTTTGAAAGTAACAATTAAGTATGATTTCTGAGTATAACAAATGACTCTTTCCCACAAAATAAGTTAAACGTTACACTGAAACTGGTTTGCAATAGAGATACTGTACCAGGAACCGGAAACCCGGAAATATTTGATAACAAAAGATTGAGATAATAATCAACGAATGTAGAGATGCAAAGCAGCCACTGCAGTTTGAGAGGCAACATGTAAGCAAAGTAGTTCGTCCAAAATTTTGCATGAGGGCGAGAGTGATTCTGCTATGTGTCTGATACGTGGATGAAAAATGCATATTTCAATCAGACTAGATTGGACTAGGGAAAAGTAAACTTATCATGACGATCTTCATTCAATTAGGCAGGTTATGAGGGATTTATGTAACTCGCAAACAGTAGTTTCATAGTGCAGATGCAGCTTAAGCGCGCCTTTTATAACTCACTCAGTGAACTGTCCAAGAGAGAGTTCTTGACGTTCTCCAGTATGACCAACATACGACCAGCAGCTATTGAAAGTAGAGACAACACGGGTAATTACTTTAAAGTTTAACAATAAAACGGTACGTACTATTACTTTAAGGTGTAAATATCTATATCTTGGGAAATTTTTCACACTGGCAAAGTAGCGGTTGTGTCTTGAGCTACTTTCGTAATGTTAATTTGACCTTTTACTTACCCCCTCTTGTAAACAAACTCGATGTATCCTCTCTCTCGCTCTCTCTGTTTAAACCGAATACAGGGAACATGATCCATCCAATCTTTTATCGAGTTTCTAATCAGTTGTTTTCCTCTAGCGTCTAATTATAAGAATGAGAAACGTTTACAAAGGCAAATATCAGAATAATTCATGTGTTGAAGGAATTAAAAGGCAACGTAAAGGACCGAAAGGTTTCGGTTAAGATTTAGCACCAATGCAACTGTGAATAAATATATCTTATTAGACGTTTTGGTGTGTAGTGTCGCTGAGTATTTCCACGAGTTGTGCCATATTTTGAAGAGCGCGAACGGCGAGTTAAAATACAAACAACGCGCAGCCGACTGGTTGAACAGGTGTTCTTTACAATACAAAATAACCAACTGTCCAAATAACCGTAGATTATCGCAGGATATTTGTACTCTATTCAAGTGTTATTTGTACTCTACTCAGTGCGGTTGGATAATAAGTGTAAGGATACTGATAAAGCTCTAAACTAGAGTCTGACGGAGAAAAGTAACTGATCAGGTACCAATTCGTGAATTTATTACAAACGGTATAATTCCGTCTGGCCAGAGTTGACGTGGATTCGCGATGGCGCCTCTCGTTTGAGCCTCTTGATTCCAGTCCGCTGACTTGTTGAAGGTTGGCCGTGACTGCCTAAGAATTTCGGCCTGTTCTTTAGTTAGTGCAATGTCTCCCTCGTACAGTTCGGGCACATCGTCTTCGTAATCGGATACTGAGAGATGAACAACAACACTTCACAAAAGACACCCAAGCTGACTCCCATGAATTTTCCACTGTATTTAAAAATCGAACAGAAACAAACAAACAAACAAACAAAATACTTCTCTACGGCATGTAAGTGATAAAGAGAAATGCACTGCATTACTGAAAATTGGGAGTATATCAAGAAAAGAAAGAAAGTTTTACTTCGTTAAGGTTGAAGAAAAGGATAAATTTTTGGGTGACTTCTCATTAATTTGGCCATTTGACGTTTTGAATTGCAATAAGCAACCGTTATCAGTGCATTGGTCGAGTAACATGGGATGTCGATCTATTGCTAGGCTTCGATTTAATTCCAACTTAAATCATTCTCTGTTATCCCTGAGGAAGATCTATTTATGAAATCATTGAGCAGTGATTGCGAAATGAAATCTATGTCAAGCTCTCTTTACCTCACCAGCCACCTGTTGTTTTAACGAAAAGGAGCATCTTTTTTCCATCCTTGAGTAACAGTTTTGTCAACAATACAATGCGTTTGGCCAAAATTGTATCGATTTTATCATAGAATGTGGCGTTCACTTCAATGATTTTTGTCACGTACTGAGCGGAAACTGTCGCCTGCCGAGCACTCCTAATAACTTGTCTGTCTCATTTGTTTACAAATATATACATTGTTAGTGTCATATCTAATTGATTCCTTTGAATACAGTCAAAACAAAAGGAACAAAAAGGGGAAAATTAAACAAACCTTTCGGCCGAGCGTGTGCAAGAAATATCCCTAACGATAGCAACAGCCATTGCTTCACAAGTAAAGCCATCTTGCCTTATCCTTAAAGTTATGCAAAATTCATGCCTTTAAATGTAACACCGTCACCTTCTCAGCCGACTTCTACTTGGAAAGGTCAAGATATTTGACTTGGGAAATAAGTCGACAAATTTTTTGCTTGAAATCATATTTCATCTCATATTTCTTTTACTAGTTGAGCATATCATAAACACTGTCGATTCTGACCGCCTGGTCTTAACCTAGAACTGTTCGAACCCAATCGTTTGTGGTTTACGGGTATAATTCGACAGCAAGTCGTGTTGTTTCTGTTTTTCCTTGCCATACAAGCGAACACAAAATTATAAATTGAATTGTGAATTGATTTTTATTTCAGTAAGTGGGGCCGAGAATCGAGAGCTTTCAAAATTAGGTAAAATAAGCCTTCACATCTCATATCTCAATGCATCTTCGCATTTGTATCCATATCTTTGTCCCACTTGCTATTTTTAGTCTTCATCATTTTTTCCTGTGATATCTTGTAGATCTCTTACTCCTGGTGTGTTTTCTTTTTACTACGAATATGCGGCTAGCCTTAAGAAAGCTTTTGGCTTCTAGCTTTTAAACTCCTTAGGCTACTTGGTCGATGAAAGGCTTTCATCTCTTTCAAACGATTGATTATGATGAGTAAGCCTTTTTTTGCCCTTATTTTTTCTGATAGGAAACAGTAAGTTCTTACATTTTCACCCCTGCCCCTCTCACTAATTTATGAAAAAATAAAAGTGCTAATAGTGAATTAAATATCTGGGCTATTGTGTGGGCAGCGAACGTGCATAGAATTCTATATATGGTTGAAGTTAATAGATTAATAGATTCTCCTTTGTAAGCCAAGGATGCAGTATGACGCGACAGATATCCCGTTTGTACTTTCTCCAGTTAATTTGATTCATTTATGCATCATTATCAACTACGTTCCCCCGTTCCAGGTTTCCTTTGAATTCACTTGGGTCTAAAAGGAGAAGAATAAGGAGTTGGTAAAAAAATGTAAGATTGGCTTTCCTCTCTCTCGAAAAAAACAATCGTTACTTTTTGTTTAGTTTTTTTTAACCTGCAATCAGCGACAAAATTGTTGACACATTGATCTTTTCAACCCCCTATTACTTCAATTTATCTTTTGTCCTTGTTAGGTTAACCTATTCGCCCCCTCCCCTCCCAAAAAAAATGCTGTGTCGTGTGATTCCGTGAACTTTTAGCTACATAAAGGCAACTGTAAATGAGGGAGGGGGGGGGTCTTGTCAATGTTACTCTGCACATAAATACCACTCTTCAAACATGATGTGTCAACTAATTTTGACGCTGATTATAAGTAGATCTATATCTAAATTTAAGAAGTGATTTATGTATCCTAACGTATGTCGACGATTTCCATAAATGCTTCTACGTAAAAGAAGAGTTACTACCGAAAAGTTTTGTTCAGGGATGAACCAGTAAATCTGGTAACCTAGCTCTTCCAAAGTCAATTGACAGAACGAAGAGATACCAAAAATGTTACAACCAAGAGCTGAGATTAGTCACCTGATTGCCGAGAGAGTAAATTTGGGGCTCTAGTTAACAATCAACAGGAACTGGCCTTGCCGCCTGTTTTTCTTCTTTACAAATACAAACTTAGACATTTCGAAAAGGATCTATTAAGATGGCACTATTCTAGCTTAACCCTCGGCGCTTTCAACAGATCATATGACAGGATCATAAATACGAATTCTTCGTATTTATGAGGAAGCCTTAACGGGCAGCTCAATTACTCATTCACTGCCATAACCTTCAAGACTGACCTGTGTTGTGTTTGTTGTTTTGTCATCGTCGGGATTCTTGCAGACTTCAAGCAGAAAAAAAAGGTTTAACCATTTACTATCCAAGATCCAATTAATAATTCCCTCGTATTACTCTCTTAAATTTCATCGAAAATTGGACAAGGTAGTTTGGTGTTCAACATAACACCCTTAAGCTAATAAGCTTGTCTTTTCTCATAACCTGATTGCAAAAAGACATATCAGTATCACAAAGAGAAGTCTCAGGTCAATTCCTTCTGGAGGCTAAGAGGAAGAGTTAAGTAGAAAATAAGAATCGCGGCCCGGAGTCAAATCTAGGGAGGAAATTATTATGTTAAATAAATAATTTTATCTTTACTTACCCAGGATTATTTTTTGCATTCGTCCAGAATTTTCTGTTTTTCCGATACAATTTGGTGGACCACCTGCAAAATGCCATAAAAAGAGTAAGATCATTATTCCCGTGACGCTGTTTGCTCTTATTTACTATTCTCTTGGATAGTCGAGGTTTTCTTTTGTCTGTGTTTCGTTCAAATGATATCTCTAGTTGTTTATTGGTAGTTACCCAATTCACCGTTAAAGAGTTCCAGGTCTTCTAGACCAATTAGAAAGCCAAATAAGGCATGCAAAACCAATGCATATCCAGGTTTACTTTCGACGGTCAATTACAAATTTCACTAACTGTAACTGCGATACCTAATAACCAAAGCCTTTGGAGACCTCCTCGAAACCTTATTAGACATCCCGTCTTAGTTTTTATCGTATCAAGCGTAACTATGTCCGAAATCATAGTCAATTACTTGAAATCGCTAAAAACTAACCTGGTTGGGGACGGCCAGGTCCAGGAGGTGAAGGTGGAGGTGGAGGTGGAGGTGGAGGTGCTGCTGTGAAAAGACATGAATTCAAAATTGAACCTCGTCCGTAACATTGAGGAAACGAGACCATATAAATGGGTCCTAGTGTTTTCAAGTCTTCTTTCAGAGACATGCTACTCAGATGACGCTATTACCTTGTAATAGCGTTGCTAGCCTTTATGCCTGGATAGAAAGAACAACGAAGGCAAAGCTGTTTTTCATTGAAATGAAACGTAACATAGTAAAGGAAACTCTTTATTCATTACGGTTGAGTTGTCGACGGTTTTTATTGTCCTGGATGGGGACACTCTACAAACAAAGGGGGTTACTTAAGCTTATGACTGACCTGGCTCAGGCCCGGGGGGCTCGTTTTCTGGCTTTTTGCCGTCAGCTTTGGTTCCTATATAAACATAGTGAGAGGTGAAGTTCTTGGTAGAAAAAAAACACAACATTTATATTATGAATAAAAGTTATAATAATTGTTTTATTTTAAAAGAAAAGGATCTCATCCCGGTAGCTACGCGCTCGAATTAATTTAAATGACATAGTCACGTGAACGTACCGCCACAGCCATACATAAGCCGAGCTTGCCGTATGTCACTTTTACTGGGGCTTTTACGCTGACCAATTTCAGCATTAGCTTTTATAGGCTCCATCGTCATGGCATTAGGACGATTATTCCCTTGGTACTTGGAATAGTGCATGATGGATCCGTAGTCATATGGCTCTCCTCGATAGTCTACCTCATTAGGGTCAGCCTTTTCAAACTGACTTGCTGCTCCTGAATTGTGCGAGAAAATACTGTTAGAAGCATGCAGGCATAAATCACCTGGCTAGATATATAAGCGGCGAACATAGGCACGTGCAACTGAACTTATCACAATAAGTGCGCTACTAATGATTTCATAACAATATGTGCATTCGTGGTATAGTCATTGATTTTGCGGTGTTTGAGCATGCAACCTCTCGGTTTATGTTGAAATATTAAAATAGGCTTTTTTTAACCTGAACTTATCGTTAAAAAAAGGAACCAGGAAAAAGGGCCACGTCTATGTATTGAGTGACACAACTTCTCCCTAGGATGTGCTCCAGTTTAGACTAAATTAATCATGGCTCAAAGAAATGGATGGAACTTTTCACCGTACCTCGATCCAATACTTTTGTACCATAAATGTAACTGTTGGATCAAAATCCACCACAAAAGAAAAAGTAGAAAAAGGAACCTTCGTTTCAAGCTCAACACAATGCGCTGTGTGCCAGGTCATTCGCTCAAGTCTCTTGGAGGTCATATACGTTTCATAGTTTTTTTAATCAAGAGAAAAAAAAGTGAAACTGAGGCGAAAAGTTATCTTGGCGACTTGTAACACAAAATTAATCGGTTTAGCTAATAACAAATATATTTACCACGCACTGTTTTTATTGTAAGCGCAAATGGTGTGTATTATACCCTACGTGGGTAAAGTTTAGGATCACCAATCCTCAACAAAATGGAATTGTATTTCATAATGATGAACGCATTTCTCCACATATAGTCATAATAGTATAATCATACTTGTTCATACTGACCGCGCGCCATGTTATGCCAGTTGATTTTGACGTAATCATCCCTGTCAGGTCGATTCTGTTCGTGTAAAAATCCGATGGCGTGTCCTAACTCGTGAGTGATTGATCCTTGTACACAGGGGGGATCCCTTCAACGAGTTGAAATTTATATACACATTTAGGTATTTTTCTTCTCTTTAAACTTATCAAGGCTACTTGGGCCGTTAATTCACTGTATTTAGTTGCTCAGTAAATTTAGAGTTATCAAATTCAAATTGCAGAGCAATCATTGCTCAATTTATTTGCAAAATTTATTTGAAAGTAACAATTAAGTATGATTTTTGAGCATAACAAATGACTCTTTCCCACAAAATAAGTTAAACGTTACAAACTGGTTTACAATGGAGATACTGTACGTGGAACCAAAAACCCAGAAATATTTGATAAGAGGAGATTAAGATAATAATAAACGAGTGTGGAGCCAGTAGCCACTGCAGTTTGAGAGGCTGCATGTCAGCGAAGTAGTTCGTCCGAGAGTTTATACGAGGACGTGAGTAATTCTGCTACGTGTCTGAAACGCGGATGAAAAATGCGTATTTCAATCAGATTAGACTGGACTAGGGAAAAGTAAACTTATCATGATCTCCATTCAATTGGGCAGGTTAAGAGGGATTTATGTAACTCGCAAACAGTAGTTTCATAGTGGTGATGCAGCTTAAGCGCGCCTTTTATAACTCACTCAGTGTACCGTCCAATAGAGACTTCTTGACGTCTACCAATATGGCCAAGATACGACCAGCAGCTGTTGAAAGTAGAGACAACACCTAATTACTTTAAAGTTTAACAATAAAACGGTACGTACTATTACTTTAAGGAGTAAATACCTATATTTACGGAAATTTTTCACACTGACAAAGTAGCGGTTGTGTCTTGAGCTACTTTCGTAATGTTAATTTGACCCTCTACTTACCCCCTTTTGTAGACAAACTCGAGGTATCCTCTCTCTGACTCTCTCTGTTTAAATCGAAGACAAGGAACATGATCCATCCAGTCTTTCATCGAGTTTCTAATCAGTTGCCTTCCTCTAGCGTCTAATTATATGAATGAGGAACGTTTACAAAGGCAAATATCGGAATGATTCATGTGTTGAAAGAATTAAAAGGCAACGCGTAGGACCGAAAGGTTTCGGTTAAGATTTAGCGCCAATGCAACTATGAATAATATATCTTATTAGACATTTTCGTGTGTAGTGTCACTGAGTATTTCCACGAGTTGTGCCATATTTTGAAGAGCGCGTACAGCGAGTCAAAATACAAACAACGCGCAGTCAACTGGTTAAACAGATGTTTTTACAATACAAAATAACCAACTGCACAAATAACCGTAGGATATCGCAGGATATTTGTACTCTCTTCAAGCGTTATTTATACTCTACTCAGTGCGGTTGGATAATAAGTGTAATGATACTGACTGATAAAGCTCTAGACTAGAGTCTGATGGAGAAAAGTAACTGATCAGGTACCGATTGCATAACTTATTTTAAACGGGACAATTCCGCCTGGCCAAAGTTGACGTGGATTCTTTATGGCGTCTCTTGTTTGAGCCTCCTGATTCCAGTCTGCTGACTTGTTGAAGGTTGGCCGTGACTGTCTAAGAATTTCGGCCTGTTCTTTAGTTAGTGCAATGTCTCCCTCGTACAGTTCGGGCACATCGTCTTCGTAATCGGGTACTGAGAGATGAACAACAATAATTCACAAAAGACACCCAAGCTGACTTCCATGAATTTTCCACTGCATTTAAAAATCGAACAGAAACAAACAAACAAACAAACAAACAAAATACTTCTCTACGGCCCGTAAGTGATTAAGAGAAATGCACTGCATTACTGAAAATTGGGAGTATATTAAGAAAAGAAAAAAAGTTTTACTTCATTTAGGTTGGAGAAAAGGACAAATTTTTGGGTTGACGTTTTGAATTGCAAAAAGCAACCGTTATCAGTGCATTGGTTGAGTAACATGGGATGTCGATCTATTATTAGGCTTTGATTTAATTCCACCTTAAATCATTCTCTGTTAGCCCTGAGGAAGATCTATAAATCGAATTAATTTACATGACATAGATCTATTCATTGATTGTGATCGTGAAATGAAATCTTTGTTAAGCTCTTTGTATCCCACCAGCCACTTGTCGTTTCAACGAATAGCACCATCTTTTTTCCATCCTTGAGTAACAGTTTTGTCAACAATACCATACGTTTGGCTAAAATTATTTGTAGTTCAAAGGGTTACCTAAGGGACTCAACATAACAATTTCATCATAAAATGTGGCCTTCATTTCAATGATTTTCTGTCACCTACTGAGTGGAAACTTTCGCCTACCGAGCACTCCTAATAACTTGTCTGTCTCATTTTGTTTACAAATATAAACATTGTTAGTGTCGTATCTAATTGATTCCTTTGATAATAAAGTCAAAACAAAAGGAACAAAAAAGGGAAAATAAAACAAACCTTTCGGCCGAGCGTGTGCAATAAATATCCCTGAAGATAGCAACAGCCATTGCTTCACAAGTAAAGCCATCTTGCCTTATCCTTAAAGTTATGAAAAATTCATGCCTTTAAATGTAACACCGTCACCTTCTCAGCCGACTTCTACTTGGAAAGGTCAAGATATTTGACTTGGGAAATAAGTCTACATATTTTTTGCTTTAAGTCATATTTCTTTTCATATTTGTTTTATCTAATAGATCATATACATGTCTTTTGTCCGTTACTTCTACAAAATTATGTGAGTGCTGTCTGAGTGGTTTAGAAGTTAAGAACTCGTAGTAGAGATAATTGTAGCGCATTTACTGATTTACAGGTATAATTCGACAGCAAGTCATGTTATTTCTGGTCTTCCTTGCTATACTAGCGAATACAAAATCATAAGAACTAATTAATAAGAGAATAGATGTTTATTTCAGTCAGAGGGGCCGAGAATCGAGAGCTTTCAAAATTAGTTCAAATAAGCCTTCACATCTCATATCTCAATACATCTTCGCATTTGTGTCCATATCTTTGTCCCACTTACTATTTTCTTCTTCATCATTTTTTTCTGTAATATCTCGTAGATCTCTTCACACTCTTGGTGTGTTTTCCGTCCTTTTATTTTAAATATGTGGCCAGCCATAAGAAAGCTTTTGGCTTCTAGCTTTTACAGTCCTTAGGCTACTTGGTCGATGAAAGGCCTTCATCTCTTACAAACGCCTGATTATGATCAGTAAGCCTTTTTTTGCCCTTATCTTTTTTATGATTCTAGCGAACCGAGAACATCTTTCAGGGTGACCAATGGAAACGTAATAGAGGGCTTTAGAATGTAAACACCGACGGATGCTATCAACTGTATATTGCAAATATAGGCCGAAATAAGAAATTCTTCAAAGCTTATTGTAGCAGACTCCAAGCCGTCAATATAACCTTGTGTTGGCAGAGTAAAACCTCTATTGAATATCACTGTGTTAATAATTCATATGGCCTGGAGGCGAAGAAAACGTTACAAATCGCGGTCAATTTTAGACTTTAATCAATATTTCTGATTGCCTTTTTCTTTTTCAGGCTTCTAGAACATGCTATAATTGTCTTATTCTAGTTTCCTTTGACGTACTAAAATACCAAAGGTTCCTAATCAAATATTCAAAAGAAAGATTGTGGCTCTGCTCTCTAAGGTAAGATGTTCCGCGTGTTATTTATGTTAACTCCCGACGAATCTGTTGTCTTTTTTGGTGATTCTGTCAGTTGTACGTCTTAGTAAAGAAACTAATGTTGTGTTTATGTGAAAATTTTGGCTTCAGAAATTCTCCAGTCGACAGACTGAACGAAAGTCTTTCGATGAATCACGCTATTCAATTGCAGCGACAATCATAGCATACATTAGACCATCGCCGTTGCAATTTATAATGCATCATATTATTACTCTTATTATTATGGAAAACTAAAGAGTATTCTAGATAATATTTTCATTTTAACCACTTCATCCTCTGATGTTGAAGGAGCTCTAAATGTTTTGATGTTGGACTTATGAATTTTAATTTAACACACAGTAGTCTGCGGTGTCTCGAACATAAAACAATTACAGGTTGACACGTTCGGCAGACATGTTTTGTTAGTGTATTTTTTCAGCCATCTCGCTTTCTTCAGTTTTAATTACATCGAATCTGCTGTTTAAATCATTCACTCTCGGAATTTTTTACAGCATCAGAAATTTTACGCGAATGACACTTAAATATTACATAATCAACCATACCAATGATTGTTCCTCCTGAGAAGAAACCGCACGGGTTCACCAAATTTTCGATTGAGAATTAATTTTCATAACATGTGTGGTAGAGTTTAATCAATTCTTTGATAAAGTTTCTGTTGACCTTCGTCACTCGGCTGCACGTTCGTTTCACCTGATTAAGAAAATAAAACTCATTGTAGTATCTAAGATAGAACTGATAAGTCATTATATTAAACAGATACGAGTGTATAAGCCACGGGCTATAAATCTTTCTTAACAGTCACATAGTGTATCAAACGAAACAGTCAGAGTGCTGGAACGAGCTGGAATGAAATAAAATGTAGCCCACAGCTAATCCGTTGTTGTTTTATACTTTTTGTTTTATCCTCTATAGGCAGCCATAAAGTAGAACAAGTATAGAACTTACTGAGCATCGTAAGTATCTGTTTCTCTTTGGTCCGACTTAAATGAATATCCACCGGTCGCAACAAGCTGATCTCATCAAGAAAGTGACACGCGTGGCCAAAGGAATCCTTGTGACTTCAATTTTGTCTCTACTTCTCGTGTTGGTTCTGGTTACGCTTCCAAAGATCGAAAGTTCAAGATTTAAATTGGGAATTTGTAGTGTCACGGCCACGAAGCTAATCACAGCTCATGACAAGAGACCTCAATGCCATTGTATCAAACGAAACACCAACGCAAATGCACAATTTATTATCCTTGTCTGCAAATTTATGTGTCTTACAATAATCGATCGGAACATGACGCTTTAGTCGTTAGGGACCGTCGGCAAATAACCAAAGAGTGTTCTTATATACTCAGAGACTCCGAATGCAAAACGACTGCGGACGTTTACAAACATGTCAACGTTTTTCGTGAACAGTGGGACTCGAAAAATTCGTCTTACAAATGTTATCATAACCCAAGGATTCCCGCTCGGGTGATTTTGATAAACAATGCATTGAGTACTGTCTTAGCTGCAACCTTGACTCTAATTTCTTCTGTTGGAGTAATCATTGGTCTGCTTTTGTTTTATTTGAAAAAACAAATTAGCTTGATTATGTTCAAACGTGTCAGGAGATTAAGAGGAAATGGACAATTAGTTTCTCTTGCTCAAGGTTCAGCGATTGATGACGAAATCGAATATTAAAGAGAATAATGAAAGATAAAGTACAATTGTGTTTTACGAGCCCGCAGGCCTGGTTAATGAAGGCAACCAGCAACACTCCTTGTATTGTTCTCATCTCAGTCGAAGTCGATTGAATATGATGAACAAAGTTTAGCTTGAACTCATTTTTATAGTACTAATAGAATGGAACTAAGTTCTGAAAACTCGACTGTCGCATTGGTATCCAACCAAAACCGTAATATGGAGACTTGAAAAACTTAAAACTTAACTTAAAACTTAAAAACTTATTGTAGTAGACCTCAAGCTTGAAAGGGTTGAAAGGGAGTTGATATGAAAATTGTATGGGTGCCTAAGACGAACTGAATGACTGACTTCTTAATTCGGAGTCTTACATGGGCCTTTTGCAGTTTCTCTCTTATCATAACAAAGATGATAACGAGTTCCCCCTAACTTGTTCACTCTTACTCAATAAAAACTCTTGAAATCATGGTTTAACTTGAGCACAACTGTCACAAAATGTTTATTCTTCTGGCTTTTGTCTAGATCGTAACCTTTTCCTGCATACAACACGTTATATACAAACCGGCTGTTTTTACTACATAATCCCATGCGAGCAAGTGAACTTTGAAAAAGGCTTTTCCACGGGATTTGTTTTACCCTAAAAGACAGGCGCTATTTTTTCATGCACTTTTCATGCGAATGAAATATATTAGGACAAAAGCTATGAATATGTACATTTTTAATGAGAAGAGACAATGAACAAACTTCGTATGACTTTCGATTTTAATGTCAGTTTCCATCTTCAGAGAAAATCTTGATAGAAAAGCATTACCTTGAACTCTCTTCGGCTGGAATCTCTTCGAAATTTTCGCTTCCAATCATAACACTTTTCTCGGTTAAGTTTTCACTACCATACCCACATTACATATCAATAAAAGGCAATAGACCTGGAAAATCTGAAGAAAGGCGCCATTTATTACTCTATTGTTATCAGGCTGCAAAAATCCCGGTTAAAATAAGCCACGTTTGGCTCCTGATCCCTTCACCTCTCAATCCAGAAGCCTTTGTGCGCTTGAAGGCCGCCATCTTGAAAAAAATACCCACAGGATAACGACCCATTTTAGGGGTGGTCTAGCCCCATTTATAATCAGGAGGGGGATATGAATTTGGACGTGGATGTGGATGTGGACGTGGATGTGGAGGTGGAGGTGCCGCTGTGAAAAGATATGAATTCAAAATTGAACCTCGTCCGTAACATTGAGGAAACGAGACCATATAAATGGGTCCTAGTGTTTTCAAGTCTTCTTTCAGAGACATGCTACTCAGATGAAGCTATTATCTTTCAATAGTGTTGCTAGCCTTTATACCTGGATAGAAAGAACAACGACTGCACAACTGTTTTTCATTGAAATGAAACGTAGCATAGTGAAGGAAACTCTTTATTCACCACGGTTGAGTTGTTGACGGTTTTTATTGTCCTGGAGGGGGACGCTCTACAAACGAGGTGGGTTACTTAAGCTTATAACTGACCTGGCTCAGGCCCGGGTGGCTTGCTTTCTGGCTTTTTACCGTCAGCTTTGGTTTCTGTATAAACATAGTGAGGTGAAGTTAGCACTGTCCCTATGCGAGACTTAAATGGCAGACAATTCCAGTTCTTGTGCCCTTAAATGCGGCAAAGGCACATTTAGCACTCTTAAGCGAAATACATAGATTATAAACCTTAAATCTTCATACCTCCGCGATACAGCGACAGAAAGTATGTAGAAATAATAAACTTACGAGGGAAGAATCATTGACTAGAACTTGAAGTTTCGTGACCATACTTAGAAATCCGAAATCACGTGACCGACAAAACAAAGAAAAAAACCCTTTATACCAATTCTTGGTAGAAAAATAACACAATCGAAGACAGGGAACATGATCCATCCAACTTTCATCGAGATTCTAATCAGTTGCCTTCCTTTAACGTCTAATTATATGAATGAGAAACGTTTACAAAGGCAAATATCAGAATAGTTCATGTGTTGAAAGAATTAAAAGGCAACGCGTAGGACCGAAAAGTTTCGGTTAAGATTTAGCGCTAATGCAACATTGGATAAATATATCTTATAAGACTTTTTCGTGTGTAGTATCGCTGAGTATTTTTACGAGTTATGCCATATTTTGAAGAGCGCGTACAGCGAGTCAAAATGCAAACAACGCGCAGTCAACTGGTTGAACAGGTGTTTTTACAATACGAAATAACCAACTGTACAAATAACCGTTGAATATCGCAGGATTCTTTTTTTACTCTATTCAAGCGTTATTTGTACTCTACTTAGTGCAGTTGGATAATAAATGTAAGGATACTGATAAAGCTCTAGACTAGAGTCTCATGGAGATAAGTAACTGATCAGTTACCGATTGCATAACTTATTTGAAGAGGGACAATTCCGCCTGGCCAAAGTCAGGACCTGGATTTGCGATGGCGCCTCTCGTTTGAGCCTCTTGATTCCAGTCCACTGCCTTGTTGACGGTTGGCCGTGACGGCTTAAGAATTTCGGCCTGTTCTTTAGTTAGTGCAATGTCTCCCTCGTACAGTTCGGGCACATCGTCTTCGTGATCGGGTACTGAGAGATGAACAACAACACTTCGTAAAAGACACCCAAACTGACTTCCATGAATTTTCCGCTGTATTCAAAAATCGAACAGAAACAAACAAACAAACAAACAAAATACTCCTCTACGGCCTGTAAGTGATAAAGAGAAATGCACTGCATTACTGAAAATTGGGAGTATATTAAGAAAAGAAAGAAAGTTTCACTTCATTTAGGTTGGAGAAAAGGATACATTTTTGGGTGACTTCTCATTTATATGGTCATTTGACGTTTTGAATTGTAATAAGCAACCGTTATCGGTGCATTGGTCGAGTAACATGGGATGTCGATCTATTGTTAGGCTTCGATTTAATTCCACCTTAAATCATTCTCTTTTATCCCCGAGGAAGATCTATTTATGAAATCATTGAGCAGTGATTGTGAAATGAAATCTATGTTAAGCTCTTTTTACCTCACCAGTCACCTGTCGTCACAACAAATAGTACCATCTTTTTTCCATCCTTGAGTAACAGTTTTGCCAACAATACCATACGTTTGGCTAAAATTATTTGTAGTTCAAAGGGTTACCTTAGGGACTTAACATAACAATTTCATCATAAAATGTGGCCTTCATTTCAATGATTTTCTGTCACCTACTGAGTGGAAACTTTCGCCTACCGAGCACTCCTAATAACTTGTCTGTCTCATTTTGTTTACAAATATATACATTGTTAGCGTCATATCTAATTGATTCCTTTGATAATACAGTCAAAACAAAAGGATCAAAAGGGAAAACAAAACAAACCTTTAGGCCGAGCGTGTGCAAGAAATATCCCTAAAGATAGCAACAGCCATTGCTTCACAAGTAAAGCCATCTTGCCTTATCGTTAAAGTTATGCAAAATTCATGCCTTTAAATGTAACACCTTCACCTTCTCAGCCGACTTCTACATGGAAAGGTCAAGATATTTGACTTGGGAAATAAGTCTACAAATTTTTTGCTTTAAGTCATATTTCTTTTCATATTTGTTTTATCTAATTGACCATATACATGTGTTTTGTCTGTTACAAAATTATGTGAGTGCTGTCTGAGTGGTTTAGACGTTAAGAACTCGTATTAGAGATGATTGTAGCTCATAGACACTCGATTCTGACCACCTGGTCTTAACCTTGAACTGTTCGAACCCAATCGTTTGTGGTTTACAGGTATAATTCGACAGCAAGTCGTGTTATTTCTGGTCTTCCTTGCTATACTAGCGAACACAAAATTATAAGAACTAATTAATAAGAGAATAGATGTTTATTTCAGTCAGAGGGGCCGAGAATCGAGAGCTTTCAAAATTAGTTCAAATAAGCCTTCACATCTCATATCTCAATGCATCTTCGTATTTGTGTCCATATCTTTGTCCCACTTACTATTTTAAGTCTTCTTCATCATTTTTTCCTGTAATATTTCGTACTGATCTCTTCACACTCCTGGTGTGTTTTCCGTCCTTTTATTTCGAATATGTGACCGGCCATAAGAAAGCTTTTGGCTTCTAGCTTTCGCTACTTGGTCGATGAAAGGCCTTCATCTCTTACAAACGATTGATTATGATGAGTAAGGTTTTTTTTTCGCCCTTATTTTTTTTTATGATTCTAGCGAACCGAGAACATCTTTCAGGGTAACCAACGGAAACGTAATAAAGGGCTTAAGAATGTAAACACCGACGGATGCTATCAACTTTATATTGCAAATTACAGGCCGAAATAAGAAACTCTTCAAAGCTTATTGTAGCAGACTCCAAGCCGTCAATATAACCTTGTGTTGGCAGAGTAAAACCGCTATTGAATATCACTGTGTTAATAATTCATATGGCCTGGAGGCGAAGAAAACGTTACAAATCGAGGTCAATTTTAGACTTTAGTCAATATTTCTGATTGCCTTTTTCTTTTTCAGGTTTCTAGAACATGCTATAATTGTCTTGTTCTTGTTTCCTTTGACGTATTAAAATACCAGAGGTTCCTAATCAAATATTCAAAAGAAAGATTGTGGCTCTGCTCTCTAAGGTAAGATGTTCCGCGTGTTATTTATGTTAACTCCCGACGAATCTGTTGTCGTTTTTGGTAATTATGTCAGTTGTAAGTCTTAGTAAAGCAACTACTGTTGTGTTTATATGAAAATTTTGGCTTTAGGAATTCTTCAGTCGACAGACTGAATGAAAGTCTTTCGACGAATCACGCTATTCGATTGCAGCGACAATCATAGCAAACATTAATCATCGCCGTTGCAATTTATAATGCATCATATTATTACTCGTATTAATAAAGGAAAACTAAAGAGTATTCTAGATAATATTTTCATTTTTACCACTTCATCCTCTGATGTTGAAGGAGCTCTAAATGTTTTGATGTTGGACTTATGAATTTTAATTTAACGCACAGTAGTCTGCGGTGTCTCGAACATAAAACAATTACAGGTTGACACGTTCGGCAGACATGTTTTGTTAGTGTATTTTTTCAGCCATCTCGCTTTCTTCAGTTTTAATTAAATCGAATCTGCTGTTAAAATCATTCACTCTCGAAATGTTTTACAACATCAGAAATTTTACGCGAATGACACTTAAATATTACATTATCAACCATACCAATGATTGTTCCCCCTCAGAAGAAACCGCACGGGTTCACCAAATTTTCGATTGAGAATAAATTTTCATAACATGTGTGGTAGGGTTTAATCAATTCTCTGATAAAGTGTCCGTTGACCTTCGTCATTCGGCTGCACGTTCGTTTCACCTGATTAAGAAGATAAAACTGGTATCTAAGATAGAACTGATAAGTCATTATATTAAACGGATACGAGTGTATAAGCCACGGGCTATAAATCTTTCTTAACAGTCACGGTGCTGGAACGAGCCGAAATGAAATAAAATGTAGCCCACAGCTAATCCGTTGTTGTTTTATACTTTTTGTTTTATCCTCTATAGGCAGCCATATAATAGAACAAGTATAGAATTTACTGAGCATCGTAAGTATCTGTTTCTCTTTGGTCCGACTTAAATGAATGTCCACTGGTCGCAACAAGCTGATCTCATCAAGAAAGTGACACGCGTGGCCAAAGGAATCCTTGTGACTTCAATTTTGTCTCTACTTCTCGTGTTGGTTCTGGTTACGCTTCCAAAGATCGAAAGTTCAAGATTTAAATTGGGAATTTGTAGTGTCACGGCCACAAAACTAATCACAGCTCAAGACAAGAGACTTCAATGCCACTGTATCAAACGAAACACCAACGCAAAATGCACAATTTATTATCCTTGTCTGCAAATTTATGTGTCTTACAATAATCGATCGGAACATGACGCTTTAGTCGTTAGGGACCGTCGGCAAATAACAAAAGAGTGTTCTTATATACTCAGAGACTCCGAATGCGGAACGACTGCGGACGTTTACAAACATGTCAACGTTTTTCTTGAACAGTGGGGCTCGAAAAGTTCGTCTTACAAATGTTATCATAACCCAAGGATTCCCGCTCGGGTGATTTTGATAAACAATGCATTGAGTACTGTCTTAGCTGCAACCTTGACTCTAATTTCTTCTGTTGGAGTAATCATTGGTCTGCTTTTGTTTTGTTTGAAAAAACAAATTAGCTTGATTATGTTCAAACGTGTCAGGAGATTCAGAGGAAATGAACAATTAGTTTCTCTTGCTCAGGGTTCAGCGATTGATGACGAAATCGAATATTAAAGAGAATAATGAAAGATAAAGTACAATTGTGTTTTACGAGCCCGCAGGCCTGGTTAATGAAGGCAACCAGCAACACTCCTTGTATTGTTCTCATCTCAGTCGAAGTCGATTGAATATGATGAACAAAGTTTAGCTTGAACTCATTTTTATAGTACTAATAGAATGGAACTTAGTTCTGAAAACTCGACTGTCGCATTGATATCCAACCAAAAGCGTAATATAGAAACTTAAAATGCTAATATCGGCAGACTGTATCACCAAAGTATTGCAAATTGTTGTTCGAAATTAGAAACTTAAAAACTTATTGTAGTAGACCTCAAGCTTGAAAGGGTTGAAAGGGAATTGATGTGGAAATTGTATGGGTGTCTAAGACGAACTGAATGACCGACTACTTAATTCGGAGTCTTACATGGGCCTTTTGCAGTTTCTCTCTTATCATAACAAAGATGGTAACGAGTTCCCCCTAACTTGCTTGCTCTTACTTAATAAAAACTCTTGAAATCATGGTTTAACTTGAGTACAACTGTCACAAAATATTTATTCCTCTGGCTTTTGTCTAGATCGTAACCTTTTCCTGCATACAACATGTTATTTACATCCCCCGCGAGAAAGTGGCTTTTCCACGGGACTTGTTTTACCCTAAAAGACAGGCGCTATTTTTTCAAGCACTTTTCATGCGAATGACGAGTTACCCTCTCTCCCCTGCACATGACTTTCCCTTAGCGTCTGGCTAAGTTCTCGCGAAAAAAAGAATGACCAATGTCTGTTTGTGGATTAGAACTATTACCCCCGAGTGAGCTGACACTTAGAAGTGTTTGACAAGTGGGTGTAAAGGCTTCTTTAGGGTAAATGTTTCACCTGACAGTGCCTATCAAAACTTTTAATAGGCATTGTCAGGAGCAGGACTGTATTTGAAGTACATTCCTGGTCCGTATGTACGAAGAGCTTCAGGCAAGAAGAATGTTGTTAAATAACTTATGGAAATAGCAATGAATTTGTAACTCTTGTAAACAAGACATTGCTGAAGACGTCATACGATGTTTTAGGTCTATTTTGTCCGCATTCGCAGGTAGAGCTTCACGCAGGAAGAATTAATGGAAATGATTAATTGGTAGTTGTTTATCAAAACAGCCCACCATGAACTTATGACATCTTGCGAATAAGACATCATTGAAGACGTCAAAGGCTTTTTTAGCGTGTTTTAATTTGGTTGCTATTGTCATTAGACATGATATGAAAATATCTACATCTTTAATTTGATCATCATTGAAAGGAAAAAAACCACTTCCGAAATTATGCTTTATCGCAGTTCGCTTACGCGCTGCTTGAAACTAACAATGCAAGCATTTAGAAGTCGTGCGGCTGGCAATGTCGACCCTTTCATAGCTTACGGCTACTTCTGATATTTTTGAATGCAGAAATAGGATGTAAATTTGAACGGTCAAGACAAGTATTTAAGAAATGTTAGACCCAGTAAACACGAAGCTTATTAAACTCTAACATTTCTTTAATTAGGAAAGTTATTGACGTAAATTCAGAGACAAATTTCTATAAATTGTCTTTGCGGGAGGTTATGAACGAAGCGTTTGATATTGCCTGTATTGGCAATGCACGCCTTTGTTTTTTCTGAACTAGCAAACTACGGTTTTAACCACCGTCCCAAGGTTTTTCAAATGTAGTCGTAAGTCGTGAGTAAATCATAAGAGATGGGAGCACAATGATCCAGCTCAGAGACACGTTACGCTTTTGAGCTCTGGTCTGTTGTTATACCTGATCAAAAGTTCAGGAATCTTTCTTCCTTGACCTACGCACTCAAATAGGACCCCCCCCAAAAAAAATAAGCGTCAGTGTTCGTTTTTATATAGTGCAAGAAGAGTTAGGTGTTATTTTGAACCTTTGGTCCTGGTTCAACCGGCCGTTACTCAGTGGATTTCATCCAATCCACCACGGAGTCTATTCAATCCACCACGGACAAAAGAGCAGGATTGGGTAGATTAATGTTCAGCAGATGAGTGTCAGGGAAACGTGCGGTTGTTTCCACTACATAATGATTTTTCGGGGTGTATAGGGTTAATGACTTTTCGACTTTTCGTACATTTAGGGCTAGGTGTTTTTTACGTCCAACGAACATGAAAGAAGAAGAGAGGGAATAGGCAGGAGATTGTTAAAAAAAACTCGGACTTAATTGTGACAGTCTGTGCTTTACGGTGTAGATTTATGCGCATCGCAGAAAGAGGATTCAAGATTAGTACAAGCGTTGTTTTCGTACAACTAAAAGGCGTGAGACATTGTTTACCATCCGACGTATAAATCGTTGAAGACAAACAAAACAACCAAAAATATCGTTTGCCAAACAACTAATGAAATGATCAGACTATGATCCTTAGTGATGAAATACAAATTCAATGACATTGATATCAAGTGAGTAAATCATCCACACAGACAAACAACAAATATAGGAACTGCAGGAAGAAAAAGCCCTAAAATAGGAATGATAGTTATAACAAAAATAACTGTAATAACATTAATGATAATTTTGAGCCCATGCACCTGTTGTGAACAGCTTCAGTATACTGTTACTAATAATACTAATTACGAAAAAAAAAGCTTGAGCATAACTAACACTTACAGAATCCGTTGATGTTAAACGCCAAACTAGATTTAACCCGAGTTATTAATTGTGGCAAAGTATTGAGCACCATTCTATTCATAAGGACGTCATTTAGAGGACGTCATGAATTTTTCCTGTCTTTTTTTATTGTCGTCACTCAGACACTGAAATATTGACATCTTAGTCTATTATGAAAAAGAGACAACGACCTACTTCGATATCTACGTTCTGTCGCAGTTCAATACGACTGGAAGTAATTAACGAGACTTATCACATACAAGCGTTTAGGGCTGATATAGCGAGGGCATAATCAATGTACTTGATGGATCTTCAAATACCACAATTATACACCGTTCTCATTTTCTTTCTTTTTTTACTTCTACTATCCGTGCTGACTAATGCAAAATAAGTTATACAATTACTGTCATCAAAAACAACGCAAATATTCATAATAAAAAAGGTACAAACGTTTTTCACACACAATTGAAGTTAATTAAAGGGCATGTAAACCCAAAAAACGTTCATTTGTTCACGTGTCACGGTTTTCACAGCAGTGAAAATACATTCAAAGGTCAGTAGGACAATACTCATCATTTTGAGTACAACTTAAAAGATCCTGATTTCAGCTTGCAAAACTATCTTTTCAATATTTCAAATCGAAGCAAACACAAACAGGGTTGGATAATTATGAAGGCCACACAAGGAAATGTACATGATACAACTTGTTTATCGATGGAAATGCTTCTGAGATGAAGGATATTGTTTACCGCACAAGATAGCACAGCGACCCTAAAGTGTTTGCCGAGATATCCCCAACACCAACGAACAAGCTATCTGTAAGCAATTTAGCGAAATTTCCTGCCAGGAAAGAAGCGAAAAACAACTAGCTCTAGTACTGTATTATTAAATCAATGGCAGAAACAACTCAAGTAAATCGATCTCAAAATGTAACAAAACAGATGAAACAGAAAATATTTAGCTTAGTCGTTTCCGGTGTGATTATCTGTGCTTTGCTGCTGCCTGTACGCGTACTTGGCCGTCTCCAGCACCCAGAAATCGAGGCAAATTGACTGAAAACCTGGATGCTCAGTGATACAACTTATCTGGGTTTCAGGCCATTTTGCCACAATTGCCCGATTTCCGTACAACAAACACTTTCATGAGTTGTCGGCATTGGTTGACAAGTTCCACACTCGCACCTTTGATAATTTTATATAAAACACTTTCAGAAGCTCAAGTTAAAAAAAATTATGTTGCATTCCTTTAGATTGTACCCTCGCTTTATTGCATTTTCATGTTAAATACAAATAAATCACAAAGTAAATTAAATACCAGTCTGAGTTTCCGAGACGGTCGCATCGCTGTCGACATGTTCTGTACTGTCTCCGTGCGGATCGCTTCGGTGAACTCTACGCGGCTCATATTGTTAAGGACGTGGCCCAGACTCTCCTGAAGATTCTGGATTATCCCCAGCGCTGTCATGTTCTAAGCTTAAGGCATTCGAGTCGCTATCTTCTGAAAAAACATCTTCCGAACTACCGCCACTTACACGAACTCCCACACCAGTTCTACTGGGGAATATGTGTTGCGCAATATTTTGGTTCCACCGCTTACGTCACGACTTCTCGCTATTGTTTCTACCGGAAATTGAATTTCAGTTGAAAATGCCGATTTTCTCCTAAAATAAGTCGAATTGGACAAAACTAATTTCAAATTCGTTTTCTACGCCACTTTTTACATAGTATAAGAAAAACATGTATTTTTGGGTTTACATGCCCTTTAAGGTTCAAAGGGTATGTAGTGCCCTTCCTAGATAACACGTTTGTGCCATTTACGTTTCATCCAATTACACAATGACGCAGAAAAGATCAGCAACCAACAAAAACGAAAACAGTTTATGATCAGAAAGAACGTCATTGTTTCCTTGACGTAGAGATAATTACTTATAATAAATCAAAACTATTTTATCTCTATTCGTCAGTGCTGTTTACGTGCACTTTGACACGGGATAACTTGTAGCAAACAAAGTCATAAGTAAATTTCATATCCTCTGACGCAAATATAGCAGGCCAGACCACAAAGAAACAAAAAATATATAGATATGCAGCGAGTGACGCATTTTGTCCTTTTTGAGACCAAAGAGTCACATTACTCAGGCGTACAACTAGTTTCGCACAGTATAGGGCCACATATCAGTCAAGGACTTCAGTGGAGCCCCGCTAAATCGAACCCGGTTAACTTTAACTCCCACTAACTCGAACAAGATCCGATTTCCCTTAGATTTGGCCCTATTTTTTCACTCAAACTTGGTTTACTCGAACTCCCCGACTAATTGTACTTTCTCTTGGCTCAAAGTTAGCCAGAGAACTCGAGCTGTAAGTGAAAAGTGTGACAACATTGCAATTGATACAACGTGATAACATCTATGAAAAACAGTCAGTTAAACTTTCCAAACTAAACGTTGATATACAAATAATAAATTGCAAAAGCATGATTCTTTTCTTTGAATTAATAACAGGACAGTTGAAATTCAATACCAATCTTAATTCCTCGAACTCCCGCTGACTCGAACCATTTTTCGTTTCCCTTGGGAGTTTCGAGTTTCTATTGTTAGTATCTGAGTCCAAAAGTATCATTTTACTGAGCGGAACTTCATATGTTGAGCTTAGATGATAGGTTTCCTGTTTTTTTCTGAAGTTGAAACTAAATAGAAAGTTATATCATTAATAGATCACGGTGGTAAACCAAAAGTCAATGCATTCTCAAGTTAAGCGAGTTCTGATAACGGATATTAGAATTTCGCCATTTACATCAACTCAGCCATATTCAGTGGAAAAGTTTAAGCGTTTAAGCAGAACTCTTT